GGTTTGTCGTTGAGGAAGTGCGGATAGGACTTCCCCTTGAACGTCGCCTCACGCCAACATTTTATAGGAGCCTGCGCGTCGTCGCATCTCTAGACTCTAGTTAAGCCCCTCGTTCGTGGAAAAAAATACAACCTACAAAAAAAAAAGAGGAAATAAACAACATTGAAAAAAAAAATCGGACAAAATTGTCAAATTATGTCCTCATTTTTATCGGAATCGTGGTCAACAACGTCTTCGACCAATGGTCAATGAAATATCGCGCTAGACCAATTGGTCAGGTCGAGTCAGGACCACACTCAGGCCGTTACATTAGACGATTTGCCAGTTAAAGGAAGAGGAGGGCAGGGCTTTATTTGAGGCAAATGAACAGAAGTCACATGCTGTCATGTCCGGCGTGGCCGTTGCGAACTCTGCCCTGCCCTTTTTAGAAGCTTTCTCATGGTTTGCGGCCATAAACAGCGCATACGATGTTACGGTGTTTCCGCCTCGTGACGACAGAGGAGGTCGCCTTCGACTTGACTAACGTAAGGCGTCGTTAGCCCAACCACATTAGAGCTATCAAAAAATTTCTGTCAAAATCGACCAAAATTTAACCTATTTTACTAACAAATTTAGAGGCTATGATCGCCTTGAAATCTGTTTGATATTTGACCCTTTTTTTGACACTGCAGTGTAGCGGGCGGCGCGGTGCCGCGCGGCGCTTCTGTATCCTCTCTGCAGTTCCGCGGGTGAAGGTCGCCTGCGAAATGATTCTCGTAAATGCTCTGCGCTGCTTTCAGAGGCTTACTCTGCGGTGCGTCCGCGCCACTGCGAGGGGCGGTGTGTGTGTGGGTTGGGGGGGGGGGCAACAAATTGCTATTCCGTAATCCGGATCACGAAAAAATTTGGAGGCAATCCAGTGCTAATCCGGCAATAATCTGGGGGTAATCCGGCGTAATCCAAGGTTCAACCCGAAAAATAATTGATATCGCGATTATCCACGGAAATCCGTTACCCGGCTGACACACGAAAGGGACCAGCGGTTTCCGCCTGGGCCTGCGCGAGCCTCCTCCGCACAGTGGGCCAGAAGACCGGTGGAGGCGGCCAAAACTCTAGACGCGTTTTGAGCTCCAGAGTCCCTAAACAGGACTCGAACCGAACGTGTGACCCCACCTATGGATTCCTCGTTCGGAGAGCAATCCATTGGTGGGGTCACACGCTCGGGTCGAGTCCCATTTAGCGACTCTGGAGCTCAAAATGCGTCTAGAGTTTTGGCCGCCTCCACCGGTCTTCCGGCCCACTGTGTCGCCCCGCATTTCTCCGGCTTGTTGTTATTTTCGACAGGGAAATTGACGAAGAGTGTGGCTGCAGAATGCCCCCCCCCTCCCCTTCATTGCCCTGCGACCGCCACGATGGCGATGCCCTTGCTGTTTCAAATAATGTCCAGTCGTTATTTCTGCGCGGCCTGGCCCCTGGCGGCGGGGCGGGGCGGGGCGGGGCGGGGCGTCGGGGATGCCCTGCGGTTTGTGGCGTAGCCTGGCGCAGCCGTAGAGTGTACCTCGGAGGTCCGTGGCCTTTGCTGGACACGGGGTCTCCAAATCTCCAGCTGGCACTCATGTCCGCTCGTGACTATACGGAATCGTGTGCATGGGCCGCACGTAAAAAAAGAACAGCAACTTGAAACTCAGCTAATTTTTCGCTGTGGTACTAAGATTTCGCGCTGATTTTGAGACGATATTGATTACACTGTAAATGTCTTACGATGAAAGGTGCACCAATTATGGTGGAGATTTTCTCCATGATACCAACGAAATTCGTCACAATATCTATAAAGTACAGTAAATTCTCAATGGTATGTTACGAAGTCAGCTGCACCACCATAATATGGAACATTTTCACCATAATATGGAGACTCTTCACTGTGCAACATTAAGAGTGTACCAAAATGGAGCCGCCTGCCTGTTGACGTTGGCCGTGCCGCGAGGGTTGGTGGTTGCATACCTGGCGCGGCTAAGCCAGACATAACAAGCTCCAGGCTCCAGACACTAGCCCGCAGCAGGCTCCAGGTGGCTCCAGGTTATAGACATCGAACTGCGTACACAGTGTACACGCGTGGCGCGCCACGGCCAAACCGGACTTCCAGGCAGTCGCTATATTTAGCGACATTCCTCGCCGGGGCATGGCAGGACATGGCAGGACATGCCGTGCAGGCAGATGCCTCTTTGAACGTTGGGCATGTTGCTCCAGTCGTTTTTGCCGGCAGGATAGGGCAGGCAACAAGACAAAGTGGGGGACAAAAAGGGGACGCTGTCTGCGGACTTTATTTTGCTTCGTCTATTGAATAATAGATGTGCGAGTCTGGAGGCGATGCTAGCTTCGCTGCTGCTTGTTTCATCGAAGGTCCTCGCCAACCCGCCTTAGGCTGTCGTAGGCTGCCGCAGGGACACAGCTTGTAGAAGGTACCAGCCGATGGATGCATCTCTGCAGGCGGTCGTTCAGGCGCGTGGTGTGTGTGTGTGTGTGTGTGTGTGTGTGTGTGTGTGTGTGTGTGTGTGTGTGTGTGTGTACGGCGTGTGTGTGTGTGTGTGTGTAAGTGAGTGTGTGCTTGTGTCTGTGAGTGAGTGTGTGAGTGTGTTCGTGCGTCTACCTTGCAGCGTTTGTTATAAATAACCGCTCGTTGGGGCAACGCTCTTGGTACCTGGGAGTCTGCCTTCCTCCCCGCTGCCCCTCACTCCCCCACTGATGAGATCTTGGCTTGGAGCTACTCGGAGTGAAGCGAATGTTCTCTATGTCCTTACCACCTTTGTGCGGTACAACGAGCTGCAGGCGTTATCGGCACGGGCTAAACTACCTCGTCTTCGGAAACGTTTTCCAGATATGCGGATAACTGCATTCACTTCGGCGAGCGCCGGTTTTTGGCACCCTTTGCGTCCTGTCTTCGCATTCTGCTGCGGCTCTCTTTTTGCTTTTCATTGCCTCAGGACGTAACACGCGTAATGCGTCCGCCCCGGAGAGTTCGCGTCTTCTGCTTCTCGCACGGGGAAAGGTGAACAAACATTCAGGTGTGATCGTTATTCCAGACTCAGGACTCGAACCGAACGTGTGACCCCACCAATGGATTCCTCGTTCGGAGAGCAGTCCATTGGTGGGGTCACACGTTCGATTCGAGTCCCATTCAGCGACTCTGGAGCTCAAAACGCGCCTGAGATTTTGACCGCCTCCACCGGTCTTCTGGCCCACTGGACCATGTACGTGGGCCCAGGGCGGCCCAGGGCCCCACTCGGCCCGTCTATTTCGCTCGTTCTCGCTGAATAGACGAGACGAATTGGTCGGGGTTGGGTGCCAATGGGACTCATTCCTCCCCACCTTGTCCGCCCCGTCTTGGCCGTCTTGGCTGCATCCTGTACAGCCCGGCAGCATGCCGCCGAGGGCAACGCAGCTCTCTGCTGCAGGCCCAGCACACTGCCGTCGCTCTGTCTCCCTCGCACCCCTGCGGCCTGCGGGACGCCCCACGAGTGCGACTCGGCCGCCAGCCTGCGACAAAGTGAACTTGCCGCCTCCAGACTTTTCTCGACCAATCTCAGTCAGCCTCAAACTGAGAGGATCCAGTCTAGAAATGGGGCTTCTGATTTTTCCCCACCGTCCGCCCTGCCCTGAGGGCATTACATACTTTGTTTTGCCAGTGTGGCCGCTGTATTCTCGCAGTGTTGGATTGGGAGGCGCGTAGTGCATAATGAAGCGAGCCCCGGCCGCGCCGGCCGCGCCGCCTGGGAGACGCACTGGACGGCGTGCCGCGGCGTGCGGAGCAGCGGGGCAGCTTGGCGGGGCAGTGCGATTGGCCCGCAGCGGGCCGCCTGCAGCCTGCAGCCTGCAGGACGCTACGCAGGCCAAGGGTCTGGCCAGGCCAGGCCACTGGTCGCAGGACCGGTTCCAAGCCGCCTACCCCCTTCCCCCTCTCTCTCTCTCTCTCTCTCTCTCTCTCTCTCTCTCTCTCTCTCTCTCTCTCTCTCTCTCCTCCTCTCTCTCTCTCTCTCTCTCTCTCTCCTCTCTCTCTCTCTCTCCTCTCTCTCTCTCTCTCTCTCCCTCTCTCTCTCTCTCCCTCTCTCTCTCTCTCTCTCTCTCTCACACACACACACCGTCGGTCCGGTCTGCACTTCCACCGTGAGGTTTGCTCCGCACAAAGCCATTATCATGGGGTCGACAGAGAAATAAAAAGCGGAGATGTCTGAATCTCTGGCCGCGGTTTCTGCTCATTTCTCCGCGAATTGGGTTGTCGCTGTCGCCGAGGTTCTGGTGTCGTCGCCGTCATTCAGCTGAGAGAGAGGGAGGGTGCCGGGCCCGGCTAGAGCAAATTAACAAAGTTGGAATCTGTTTTATCTCGGCCTGCAGACTGATTCCGAGGTTCGTTTTCGTCGCTCTGGGGCGCCCCGTACAGGAGCGACAGAGGCAGAGCGGCGAAAACGACCCTCAGTCCGCTGCGCGCTGCGCGGCGCTGCGCGGCGCTGCGCGTCCCTGCAGGGAAGGCTAGAGGCATGCCCTGCGTGCCGCCGGCTGGCCGGCAGGCCGCAGCACGCCACGGCCGAGGCAAACACAATCCGATTCCGTCCGGGATTGGTCGACGAGTCGGCACGCCGCGGCACCGTGGCATGGCATGGCATGGCGTGGCATGGCATAGCCGCCGACGCGGCCGTGGTATCAGCTGACAGTGCGGTTGCGGACACCCTTTCGTGGGTGTGTCTGGCTGCCTGCTTTCGGAACATCCCCGCACAGTGGGCCAGAAGGGGGCGGCCAAAATCCCAGACGCGTTTTGAGCTCCAAAGTCGCTAAGCAGGACTCGAACCGAACGTGTGACCCCCAACAATCGAATGCTCTCCGAAGTCGAAACGTTTTTATTTTCAGACGGTCAATCGGGGTCGTTTGTACGCAGTTCACAGAGTTAAACCTGTATCCGGTAGTCGGCATCTCCATGTCCCCCATTCCATTCCATTCCATGACGCGACTGACGCTGATTTTTGCTGCAGTTTCCCGAGTCGGTGGTGGCGGCAGCGGCGGCGGTGGCCCTGGCCGGTGACGAGGCCGGCGATGTTCCCGCTGATGGCCATGGTGGGCATGACGGCGAGCCGAGGCCGTCGCCGAGGCCGTCGGCGTCCGCGTCCGCAGGCCGGCCGCCCGACGCGCTGCAGCGCTGCTCGGCCGCGGCCAGGGACATGGTGGCCAGGCTGCTGGACAGGGACCCGCGACGACGCCTCCGCACGCTCCACTCCCTGCAGACCATCGCCTTCTACCTCAACTTCAGCTTCGCCGACGTGCGCGCCAGGAAGGTGGGTGACGAGTCACAGTGGGCCGCACCGGCCGCCAACACTCTCGACGCGTTTTGAGCCCCTGAGTCGCTAAATGGGACTCGAACCGAGCGTGTGACCCCACCAACGGATTGCTCTCCGAACGAGGAATCCATTGATGGGGTCACACGCTCGGTTCGAGTCACATTTTTAAGCGACTCTGGAGCTCAAAACGCCCCTCCAATTTTGGCCCCCTCCACCGGCCTTCTGGCCCACTGTGCCATGGCGGATCCCGAGCCGGCCGGAGGAGAATAGCACTTTTTGCCTAGTTCCTTCCTGATCTAAGAGTGTTTTTAAAAAAAAAAATTACTTTATTTTTATTTGGCAGGTCCACCCCCGAGACTTGTTCGAGAACCTGCTCGAAGTTCGTCGACAGAAGACTGAAGACGTGGACGCTCCATTCCAGGACTTCGACAGCATTGTCCCCACCATTGTGTGAATCGTGATACCAAGTGTTCATTGTTCCTTGAACACATTCCTTTGCCCGAATCTCAAATTGTTTTACCATGCATCTCTATTACGCGTTTTTGAAGGCTGTTTAAGTTTTTTTATGTTCTGTTTGAGTGGTGAGACGAACGATAGTTTCAAAGTTTATTCTTCTCCAACAAAGTCATAATGTTTAAAATAAGTTGGAGAAATAAATCAATTTTAGGAATGCTCTTTCACCATAACGTCCTCCCCCTCCTGAACGTCGATACACCACGTCGAGAACACAGGGAGTATCGACTGCAATAGGGAATACCCCCTGCAGACAGATCCCGAGAGACTTTGTCGTCGCTCTGTCTCTCTCGCACTCATGGGGCGTCCCGTATAGGTGCGAGAGAGACAGCGCGACGACAACGACTCTCGGAATCTGTCTGCTCGGAGTAACGAGAAGAACCTCCCGGCTGTGACGTGGCGAATGGGTGGCCTGTCTTCACGGCGCCTCTCCCGCTCTGATAGTCTGTGAGGGTTGGACGGTCAGCCGGAACATCGCAAACCGGTGGCTCAGTCGGCAAGAGCGTCGCCCATCAAACAGAAGGGGTAACATTTAATAGCACTGCGAAGTCACAAAGTTTCTTACATTTATTTATTAATCTGGAGTTAGTACAAAAATATTTTACAAGGCAAGTCAGATCTACGAAAGAAACAGATTTACAGTGTAGTGTTAATAGACGTGGCAGTGTCGATCCTCTCGCGATGTAGCAAAGCGCGCCAGCAATAATAACAATAATGGTAATAATTATAATTAGGTGGAGAAAAAAGTTCTTCAAACTCTCTCGAGAACACGATTATGGCACAAGATTCATGTTGAACTCCGTTTGCAGAAGTGTCAACGTCATATGGCACACTCTATCAAAGACTTATTCAAGGGTCTCCCTTTTAGCTAAAACAAAATAACTTCCGTTCAACTCCTCGCATGAGTACTAAGGTCTGCACGCCGCATGTTTATGCACAATTTTGTACGTACAAAATTATACATAAGCATATAGTAGGTGCGAACACCCACACTCGAAAAAGTGGATTCTTGTCCATGGAGTTACTCTTGACAAGGTTCTTGAGGCTAGCGTATTTTCATTGTGAGAAAGGAATTTTTCGGAATATCGGCAAGAGCCTCTCCTGGGAAAAGGATCACTCTTTTTCGGGTGCAAAGTAACACCAGGGTATTGCGAGTGAACCCTTTCACGCCCACACCTTCAAACAGAACGATTCGCCGCGTTTGTGGTAACTTCCCGGGAAACAAAATACAAAATCAGGTTGAGATGGATGGCTCGTGGTAACTGGACCCGCACTGTTTCCTCGCTACAGTGGGCCTGCTGGAGGCCGCTGCGGCGTGGAGACAAGCTTCAGGCCGCGATCCGGGTGTGCTCCCAATTGTTGCCGCCCTTCTTCAAGAACATGATCCGGTCGCCGATGAACGAGTCGTGGGCGTAGTAGAACTCGATCATGGTCGGGTACAGCTTGTAGGCCACGCTGAGGACAGAGATGGCGACGTTAGCCGAATGAATGGCAACACTTTCACTGCCAAGTTTTCTTGCTACAAGAATTGGCCAGCCGTTTAGACTGCTAAAAATTGGCAAGCCGGGTGCTGAAAAATTTGCCATTGCAGGTGAACGGAGCGCCAGATCGCAGTGGGATAGAAGACCGGCGGAGGCGGTCAAAATCCTGAACGCGTTTTGAGCTCCAGAGTTGCTAAATGTGACTCGGACCGAACGTGTGACCCCCACCAATGGATTGCTCTCCGGACGAGAAATCCATTGGTGGGGTCACACGTTCGTTTCGATTCCTGTTTAGCGACTCTGGAGCTCAAAACGCGTCTAGAGTTTCATCCGCGCCTCCGGCGGTCTTCTGGCCCACTGCGCAGCGCGCCCGCCGCGCGGGGAAGGCCGCGTCGATGCGTCGATACCCCGCGCTGACGGAGACTCCCTGGCAGGCTTGCCGCCACTGTGTACTTACAAATGGTCGGGGCAGGGCAGCGTCTGTACGCCCTCGGCCACCTTCTGCAGCAGCTCGTCGTGCTTCTTCTTGTGCTCGTCCCAGTCCACCTCCACGCCCTGGTGGCACAGGTGCGTGCGCACCTTGCAGTACAGCGGCTCGCGCTCGTACAGGTCGCCGACCTGCTCGGGGGTCAGCTCCACCGTCTCGCCCTCGATGCGCACCTGCCAAAAGCAATCGACACGCGTTTTGAGCTCCACAGTCGCTAAATGGGACTCAAACCGAACGAGTGACACCACCAATGGATTCCTCGTTCCGAGAGCAATCCATTGGTGGGGTCACACGTTCCGTTCGAGTCTCATTTAGCGACTCTGGAGCTCAAAACGCGTCTGGAGTTTTGGCCGCCTCCAACGGTCTTCTGGCCCACTGTGCACTGACCTGCTGGTTGACTGTCACGCCGTCGGCCCTCCGGTAGCACCACAGGAACGTCATGCAGGCCGCGGGGTTCTCGGCCTGGGAAGCGAAGCAGCGAAACACGGTCACGATTGGAAGGGCACGCCGCCAGGTGCGAACAGAATTGATTGATTCGGTAATGAACCCCCCAACCCGTTGGCCCTACCGCGCAGCGTAGGCTCTACGGCACTACTCCACTGGCAGACTGATTCCGAGACTCGTTTTCGACGCTCTGTCCCGCTCGCACCTATACGGGACGCCCCAAGGGTGCGAGAGAGACAGAGCCACGGGGAGGAATCAGTCTGCAGGTCTAGAGAAACGATGTCGGTGAGTGAAAAGTAAAACATTACCAGTTCAGCGGACTTCTTGCTGCGCCTGTCCGTCATGATGACGAAGCCGTCGTCCTCCAGGCGGCGGAGGATCACGTGGCGCGAGCTCACGCGCCCGTCCCTGCACACACACAAATTTTAACGTTCATTTTTAGGGTTTTGTACTGGCTAAGTAGTGTACTGGCTCTTGCTTCCGAGTCCAAAACGCGCCTCCACCGGCCTTCTGGCCCACTGTGCGCTGGTGCCCGCTGGCTGACCGCGCCGCGGAGGTAGGCCTCCCATCGCCCTCCAGCCGGAGCGTGCCGGTGTGCCGGCAGCATCGACGCGAACCTTGCCGGCGGCCGCGTTCGCCGCGTTCGCCAAGAGGATCCTCTTGAAACCGATACCGTCCGCGCGTCCGCGACCCCTCCGCCCGCGTGCTTCGCATGTGCTTGGCCCTGGATCGCGCGCCACCCTCTGGCCGTCCCTCGCGCAGACCCGCCGCCCCTGGCTGCCACGCTGCGGCTTCCCTGGCCGCCTCACCAGACTGATTCCGAGAGTCGCTTTCGCAGCTCTGTCTCTCTCGCACCTGTGCGGGCCGCCCCGTGAGTGCGAGAGAGACAGAGCGCCGACTCTCGGAATCAGTCTGCAGCCCTTGGCCGTCCAGCCAATGCTGTATTAACTCCTTCGCCAGTGACGGCCTCACTCAGCGCGCGTCGGCCAAAGCCCAATTGGTCTCTGCTGGCGAAGACCCTCGACGGGCTGCACGGCAGCGCGAGCCGTCCAAGGAGTAGGCGGATCACCTCCAGCCCTTGAGAGAGATGGGGAGAGGGGGGGGGGGCAAAGGGTCCATTACGCCCTCTCTTGAACCCCAGATAGCCGCCTGAAACGCAGGCAAAATGCAACACTTTGCCCCAAAATTCTAGACGCGTTTTGAGCTCCAGAGTCACTAAACAGGACTCGAACCGAACGAGTGACCCCACCAATGGATTCCTCGTTCGGAGAGCAATCCATTGGTGGGGTCACACGTTCGGTTCGAGTCCTGTTTAGCGACTCTGGAGCTCAAAACGCGTCTAGAATTTTGTCCGCCTGCTTTGGCCGGTCTTCTGGCCCACTCCCCGACGTACTTGGTGGCGGTGGACAGGCAGAGCGCGTTGGGCAGCACCAGGTGGGAGGCGAGGGCGTCGACGTGCCACTGGCGGAACAGCGTGAAGGGGTTGCCGTCGGGCAGCTCGATCTTGGCCAGCCCCGACGTCTCCGCCGCGACCGTCTTGAGCGCGGCGACCTTCTCCGCGGCCTTGGTGCCGTTCACGCCGTTGGTGTGCTGCACGCCGTTCTGGAAACAATTCAGAAGGAAAAATCATGCATTCGTTTTTCTCACCTCTTGAAATTTTTGGGCGAGGGGTGCATATCACTGAGCGTTGTGGCATGCACTGGGCGAATGAGTACTTGAGTACTTCGCGGACGGGACAGTGGGTCCACACGTGAGCAACTCACACCTCATTTCTGGGACAACAGAGCCAAGGCAATTGTTATTATTTTTATTAAATTTGGTATCGATTTGTCGGGAACGGGCGAGCCACCGCGCCTGGCCCGAGGCCTGGCCAGCACTGGGAGGCGCTGATCAAGTACACGTGTGAGGCCGTTACATAAGACCGAAGTCAGGGCAGCGACCAACTATCGACCTCCGCGCTCCGCCTGGACAAGAGCCGCCTATGCGGACTCATTCCGAGAGTCGTTTTCGTCGCTCTGTCTCTCTCGCACTCATGGGGCGTCCCGTTCGGGTGCGAGAGAGACAGAGCGACGAAGACGACTCCCAGTCTGATGGCGCGTCGGCGCCACTCAATAACGACCTCAAAGGCCCAGCGCTGAAAAAAACAAAACAAATTAGTGCCGATAACCAGTTGGGACGGAGGAACGCCCAGGAACGGAACAGTGGCTGTGTGAGCCGAGCGGCTGTAAAGTGTGTGGATAGCGCCCAGGTGTACAGGACTTGGCCCGGGCGAAACAACAAGAAGAAAGGACGAAGAAGAACCTTCAGCAACATGGCGGACGATCCCTGATTGGTCCTAGCAGCCGACGGAGGCCGTTCGAGAAGATTCTTCCCCCTTTCTTCACTCTCAGCACGTTACTGACTTTTTCCTCCTCAATTACGTATTCATATAAACAGCAATAATACTTAGTATTTTCTAAGTAAGTATGACTAATTTCCTTTGTTAAGTTATGTACAAAACAAAATTTTCAGTACATTATTTAATAATTCCTAAGTAGTTCTCTAAAAAAGGAAAAGTACGTATTATGGCTGCACAAATTACTTGCATAAGTACAATAACGTGCTGAGAGTGTTCTTCCTTCTTCGCGAACTTCCGTACTATGTTTCCGTACCCGATCACACGAGTTCATTCGTCTGTCCATTTTCCGTACTCAAGTACGTAAGTTTTTACAGTGATTCCTGGACCTTTTTTCTGTCTCCAAGTCGTTGTGTTTTTCGCTGCATTGCTTCCGTGGACCTGGACGCGGCCGTGCCGTGCCGTTCCAGCCTTACGTAAGCCTAACCTTGGCCACGCGTGGCGCGCCGCGGCCCCGCCACATCTGCATACAGCGTCAAGTCCAAATCTCGAACGAGGAATTGTTTCGACGGTGACTGACAGCTGCCGACGCTGCTCGTGGGTAATGTAAAAAAAAAAAATCGACTAAAACTATTTATGTCCTTTCGAGACGAAATCTTAGTGAAAGAATCGTGTGGTTCTCTCTCCGTCAAAATGAAATTACTGAGAAAACCAACCCTATTATAGTCGATTTGTCTTAACTTCTTTTACTGTCAGCGCCGAGGTTTGCGCGAAGGGTGGCAAGACCTATTATGGTACACAATTCTGATAATTATTCATCTCCACAATTGAATTGGGTCGTTATATCTTCAAAGTTTATTGCACCTTTATCAATAAATTTTACTTTCCATGAGATAAGAGAGTGATTCTTCTTATCTGCCCCTCCAAGGGCGATGACTCTTCAAAGAATCATATTTTAAGTTCATAAAAACTCCCAAAGAAAAAAAAATAATTGAAGAGCAAGCTGCCATTTCTGCCACCCTCCTGCAGGGGTGTGTCCGCGGTGCGTTAGCGGCAACCCTACACCGGAAGGATTAACAGAAAGAGTGGCGCAGCTCGTAGCTATGCGGCCGTGCGCTCTAGCATAGTACTTTCAGAAATGAAGCTTCCTTATTTTTTCGTTTAAGAAGAGAAAGATTTAAGTGTTTTTGTTTGGTTTTTTTCTTTCGAGAGCGGGGTGTTGTTGTTTTTGTCTCCTTGTGCGACGCTACCGAGTGCTTCAGACAGTTCTCGTTTCAGTTGGAACAACATGGAATTGAGTGGGCAGGCGGGAGGGTACTTTTGATAACAGAGGGCCGCTGCCGGGCTATGCCCTTGAGTGACAGGTACGGCTGCGTCGGCGGGGCCTCTAGGCCGCCTCTAGGCCGCCTCTAGGGCGGGGCCGGGCAGCCGGCACGTCACGGGGCTTCGGAGGGAGAGCGAGTGAGTGCGTTTGGAAAGCATCACACGCACTGTGAGAGAGAGAGAGAGAGAGAGAGAGAGAGAGAGAGAGAGAGAGAGAGAGAGAGAGAGAGAGAGAGAGAGAGAGAGAGCCGGCCTACCGTAAATAAACCTATGTACACCCATTATAAGAAGTGTAGTCACAGAAAGTAATTTTTTTTTTTTAAAAAAAAGAAACTTTTGAGGAAGATTGAGCGTTTTCTATGACTCCACAAAAAAAGCTAGCTGACGCCTTAATGTGTCATATTTTTTCCATTACGGTTTGAAGTAAAGGTATCATCTGCTGAGAAGGTAATGAAATAGCGTATGACCGCGTGCAACGCCACGAGCACTTGAGCTTAGGCAGCTCACGTGCGGACCACGTGTCCTGGCACCGACAGGTCGCCAAGAAACGCGACTTGCACGGTTCCCAGGCGAGACGTCGCCAGATCGACTGTCGTTTCAGAGAAAAGTTTCGGCGGGTGTCTGTTGACGGAAGGACACAGCCCTTTCCTAGACGAGTGTCGAGTGTCCTGTAGGGCCGCCCTGATCCTGGTCCTCGCGAGCCCTTCACCGCGCTGGACCAATTTTGCGGTCGGCCAATGATATCTCTCGAGTTACCAGTGGGAATCTGGCAGCCCTGGCCAGGCCCTGGCCTTTTCCCGATCCGCTTTCAAATCCGCCGCGGTTCGTCCTTCTTTGGCCAAGCCTCGCACAGTGGGCCGTGGACGCGGCCGAAACTCTAGACGCGTTTTGAGCTCCAGAGTCGCCAAATGGGACTCGAACCGAGCGTGTGACCCCACCAGTGGATTGCTCTCCGAACGAGGAATCCATCGGTGGTGTCACACGTTCGTCTCAAGTCCCATTTAGCGACTCCGGAGCTCAAAACGCGTCTGGAGTTTTGGCCGCCAGCGCCGGTCTTCTGGCCCACTGTGGGCTGGCCAGTCCGTCTGGACCACACAGAAGGCCCCACGCGAACATGGCGCTGATAAGCATTTCTGGGCGGCCCCGGACTAAAAATGAATCAAACGTGATTTCACTGAAAAAATCGTTACGTAACGGTAATTTCCAGTACCTCCAAAGCTCTCGCAACGGAGCCGCCGATTCTTATTTCTTAAATAAAATTTGAATATAGATCGGTGCGATTTATCGCCAGGGATCTGCAGTCACCTAGCACGTAATCGGTTTTCTTGGCACTCACGGGCAGACGCCACATCGTATAAATGTCGACAGCACGGCGTTAGCAAAATAGAAATCAGACTGAGCAACTCCGTAAAAACTGGGAATGTCTTTGAAAAAAAAAAAATGATACGAAAAAAAAAACCGTTGGTGTGCAGGCATGGCAGCATGCTGGTACACAAGTACTTGGTAATACACTCGAGGGCGTCGCACCCACTAGGCGTAACTAGATACTCGCTGTGGTTTCCGAGTTGGAAAATGCACGTGATGCAATATTAAAAAGACATTGCCACCGACTGCGAGGGAAGGACACTGAGAAAGTCCATGGCCATGGCTAACGTAGACGCGGTGAAAAAAATAATTGAATACAAATTTACTGGAATACCGCTAAATAGAGAATTCAGCATTTTGGTCGTTCCAAGCGAGAAAATAAATCGGCTTTCTACGAGGCCGTTCATTTGTGTGTTTTGTTTATCGATGAATGGGAACGTGGCACCACTATGTACACAAATGGCTGCGCTTACATAACGGAGATCCACAGCAAACTTACATAATTTCTCGTCAGCATCCCGACAAATTGGACCGAGTATCCGAATAATTCGAGCGGAACTCAAAGCGCGTTCGCGGGTCGGCCAGTTCGGCGCGTGATTCAAATTTGGCGGCATTGGCCAAAGGCGAGAAGGACGGCCGGCACTGCACTTCCCCGCGAGGCCTTGAAAGAGCGACACCACGCCGTTTCGAGAGAATCGAAGACAATCGGAACCTCGATCGCAATCCCGCATGAAAACGGTCTATTTGTATCGCCTTGACATTCCTGCGTCGCGTCGCGATGACATAACCTCTACTCACCATGGTGACTGACTGGGTCGGACGGGACGGCGTTCGGGCTCTTGTCGTGCTGGCGGCTTCCCTGACACTCTGCCCAGGAGGTGCTGGAGTGTGGGCCTTCCAAGTCACACTGATCCTGCCTTGTTCGAGCCGCTGCCACAGCCGCCACCGCCGAGTGGCCAGCGGGCAGGCCAGCGGGCAGGCCAGCGGGCAGGGCGCAACAGGACACACACACACGCGCGCACACGCACGCGCGCATAGCGAACGCCGCGCGGGGTATCGCCGCCGCCTCGCTACTGGCGCCCCCTGTCTGTCTAGGAGTCTCCGGCGCGCGGGGTATCTACGCGGCCTTCCCCGCGGCGCACAGAGTGGGCCACCGGTGCAGGCGGTCAAAGTCCCGGACCCGTTTCGAGATCCAGAGTCGCCAAATGGGACTCGAACCGAACGTGTAACCCCACCAATGGATTGCTCTCCGAGCGAAGAATCCATTGGTGGGGTCACACGTTCGATTCGAGTCCTGTTTAGCGACTCTGGAGCTCAAAACGCGTCTAGAGTTCTGGCCCACTGCGCGCTGGCGCCCTCTGGAGGCCCGAGCGCCAGGCACTGCGCTGCTGCCGATTCACCCGAGCCGCCCCAATTAATTTGGATCCGCGGCCGAGATTCCCGCCAATCCCCACGAGGCTCGAGTTGCCAGCCAGAAAACAGAGGCGGGGTCGCGTTTCCACGAGATTCACGAGCCGTGGGCGCCGAGGGCGGCAGGGCTGTTTGGCAGTGGCGTGCCTCGACACGCAGCAGCACGCACGGCACGGCACTGTCGCAACAGTAGGGGGAAAATTTTCCACGATGCACCAGTGTCTGAAGGAATGGGTTGCCAACCTTGGCCTGCCTACTAGGTAATCAATCCCGGGTTTCGCTCTCGATGAGTTGCCTAGAAGCCGGGCTGATAGGTAGCAAACCCTTTCGACACTGCCAAAAGCACTGCAGAACAGAGCGCCAAAGGAGGAAGGGGCAACGGAAATTACTGGGAGCATACAGTGGGCTAGAAGACCGGTGGAGGCGGCCAAAATCCCGGACGCGTTTTGAGTTCCAGTTTTGACCGCCTCCACCGGTCTTCTGGCCCATGCGGCGGGCCGGCTGGCTCGGGGGCGAGGTAGGCCACGCGCCCAGAAAGCGTGTGCACCGGGTTGCCTACCCGGCCGTTGGCAGGCGGCGGCCGGCTCGCGCGCGCTCGGCTTGACTCGCTCGGCTTAGCAGGAAAACGAATTATTCCCGGCATTTTCTCACTCACTCTTCCTCTTTCTCTCTCTCTCCCTCTCTCCGGGGTGCCGCGTCGCTCCATCCAATTGCCCTGGAGCCCCGGGCGCTGCCTCCAGCATCCAGCTTCCGGCCCAGTGGCTGCGGGGCTCCAGCGCAGCTCCAGCGGGGCTTCGGCCAACTTTGGGGAAGGTTTGCGGACAGGCGACGCCTCACAGCCTCACAGCGCTCCGGGCGCACTCTCGAAACATTGAAAACCATTTTGGACCTCACAAAGAAAAGTATAGCTTGCCATTACTACGGGGGATTTCGAACGCACCTAACTCGAAACTTAAATTTTCAAATAAACTGTTTTGTCATTTACGACCTATTTTTGCGTAGGAAACCTACCTAACTAGTTCAAACTTATCATGTGCTCGAAATACTTATTAAGGTGTGGAGCGTGCGCTCGCAGGGCGCAGGGCTCTCTAAAGGCCTTCGCAGTGCTGCAGGCGCTCGTAGGGCTCTCTGAAGGCGCTCACAGGGCTCTCTAAAGGAGCTCGCAGGGCTATCTGAGGGCCTTCGCAGTGCTGCAGGCTCTCGTAGGGCTCTCTGAAGGCGCTCACAGGGCTCTCTAAAGGAGCTCGCAGGGCTATCTGAGGGCCTTCGCAGTGCTGCAGGCGCTCGCGGGGCCCTCCAAGGGCGTTCTAAACCGGCGGCGACAGGGCCAAACCGCATCTTGGCCCAGCCATTCCGGCCCGTGCTGCAGTACAGTCTCCTCCATAAATCAAGTGGTGACTTTACGGCGTCCTGGAGGCCCTGGAGGCCCGGAGCGCGGGGCCATGGCAGGGCCCCCAACCCACATTTGCTGGGGACTGTACCGACATAAAGCCACACGCCGCACTTCTTTCCCCTGCACTGTTTAGCTCGAATTTCCACCAGGGGGGGTATTCGAAGGCTTGCCACACGGCCCCCGCCGCCCCCACCCTTCCCCCGCTTGACCTGCAATGTGCCACAGGAAGACACCCCCTTCCAGTGACGTCACTCGGGGCTATGACGTCACGCCCGCGGGCCGCTCGAGCTCGCCCCACCCCCTCGTCCCTCTGTGGCTGCTTCTTAATTTAGAGGGAAGGGGATGGCTTTCAGCTGTTTTTAGCCGACACGGCGTGGCGCGGCGACGACCAAATCAAACGACACTGGAAGCGCATTACGGTCCGAGACACGCTGCCAAGACCTTAGCCGGCCAGACCCGTTCAAGAGAGAGCGGTTTGCTCCAGCAGCACAGGAGAGCAGTTGAGCCCCTGCTCGCCCTTAGTTTTAGTTTTTGAGAGAGAGAGAGAGAAAGAGACAGAGATACAGAGGGGCGGGTGCTTCCGGCAGTGTACCACTCGGCCCTGCAACAGGGCTTGCTTCGCCCGCTTCGCGCGCTTCGCCAGCTTGTCCAGCACACCGCTGAGGCAGCACTCCACCTTGCGGGCCTGGCGGGCTGGCGGGCCTTGCAGGCAAGCAGACGGCGAGGGAGACGAGGCCAGAATAAAGGCGGAACGAGCCGGGGCGGGCCGGGCGGGCCGGGCGGGCACACTGTTGTATTCACGCTGCCTCCTCTCGTCGGCTCCTCACCAGCCCCCCGACGGCCCCCGACGGGCCCCGTCGGCCCTCATCACGGAGAAGCACTACAGCGCCTCGCTACTACGAGTCCCCGCGCTCCGACGCTCCGCCGCCCCGCGCCATGACGAACTGCTAAGCTGGGCTTGGCCGAGAAGTGCAGCAGCAAGAAAAAGGGGCGACCCCGCCGTCATCACGGCCGTTCCTTCTCGGCGTCACACAGCGGGCCGGAAGACCGGTGGAGGCGGCCAGAATCCCGGACGCGTTTCGAGCTCCAGAGTCGCTAAATGGGGCTCGAACCGAACGTGTGACCCCACCAATGGACTGCTCTCCGAACGAGGAATCCATTGGTGGGGTCACACGCTCGGTTCGAGTGCTGTTTAGCGACTCTGGAGCTCAAAACGCGTTTCGAATTCTGGCTGAAAAATGGCACCGAGACCGGGGATTCGAACCCGCGGATCGGATACCGAGTGCCGTTCTCGTGCTCCCCTCTGGCTCCACCGTCGATATGCCTGAATGTGCGGAGCGATGTGGAGCGCGGCCCGGAGCGGGCCCAGAGTGGGGGTCCGAAGTGGGGCATAATTAAAGTGCGGTGTCATGGGGTGCGGAGGCCTGGCCGAGCCTGGCCGAGGCCTATGGCGGCACGGCGCGGCCGATCCATGATTCATGGAGTGCACTCAGCCTGCTTTTGGCGGTGGTCCCGGAGCCGCCGTCCTGCGCGACGCACTCCACAGACTGATTCCCAGAGTCGCTCTCGTCGCTCTGTCTCTCTCCCACCTACTCGAGCGCAGCCCCATGAGTGCGAGAGAGACAGAACGGCTCTCGGCATCAGTCTATCTCTCTCGCACTCATGGGATCTGCCGGGTGCGAGAGAGACAGAGTGACGAAAGCCGCTGGTCCGCGCGGCCACGGTCCCCACCCCCACCTCCCCCACTTCCGCCTCCATCCCCTTGCCGACGCCCTTTTAATTCCCCAAGGCGTTAAACGCGCGGCCGGCCGGCACTAAAGCACTAAAGCGCGCGGGGCGGCCAATTTCGGCCAACTTCCGGCCCGGCCAGGCCCGGCCGCACAGTGGGCCGGAAGACCGGTGGAGGCGGGTGAAATCCTGGCCGCATTTTGAGCTCCAGAGTCGATAAATGGGACTCGAACCGAACGTGTGACCCCACCAATGGATTGCTCTCCGAACGAGGAATCCATTGGTGGGGTCACACGTTCGGTCCGAGTCCTGTTTAGCGACTCTGGAGCTCAAAACGCGTCTGGAGTTTTGGACGCCTGCGCCGATCTTCTGACCCACAGTGGGGCGAGGCCGGCAGCACAGTGTACCTGCCTATTATCATGCCCTGACGGGCCAGCTCGCGTGACCTTTGGACTGCCTTCTAACTCTCTAAGTGTTTCCCTCATCTCGCCGCGCCGCCCCCGACCGGCCCCGCCCCCTGCCGATCCTTTTCCCGCCAACTGCTCATGCCCGCCCCCACCCCCACCCCCACCCCCGTCCGGCGGAGACGCCGAGCAGCGCGGCGCAACGCGGAGCGCCGAGCGGAGGGCGGAGGACCCAGTTGCCACAGCACCCTCTGGCGCGACGGGGCGGCCGCAGCAGCGACGCCGCCAGTGGAGGCGCCGCGTCAGCCGCGTCAGCCGCGTCCCAGCGCGAGCAGACGACGCGGAGCCGCGCGGAGCACGAGCCACGCGGCGAGGCGGGGCGCGCGTCACGGCGGCACGCCCTCGGGCACGCCCTCGGGCACGCCGGCCATGAGGACCACGAGGCCGAGGGTGAGTACGGCGCCGCGTGCTTGAAAAAAAAAAAAAAAACCAATGACGTTTCAAAAACGTTAACATCTTACAAAGGGAAATAACTCCAGCCAAATTTGTACGGCGAAATTCGACAAACATGCAAAATTCAGTAAAATTTATTAAAATTCATCGAAATTTGACTAAAATTTATCTAAATTTGACTGAAATTCGTCGAAATTTGACAAAAAAATTTGTCGGAATTGGACAGCCCCCTGTGATTTATTTTTTGAAAGGGGGGGGGGAGGAACAAAGGTGAAGTAAAGCTTTGTTAAAATCCAGCCTGATTCAGCTCATTGGATGAACTGAACGCTTTTGGGTTGGGAAGATGTCAGGAGTTGCAAGGTAGAAACTTTAAACTTTCGTTACGTCTGAGAGGCCCAAACGGCCTACGTTTCAAGACGAAATAACAATAACAAAAGTAAAGATAAATAAGAGCAGGCGCGCTGGCACTGCGAGTGCACTGCGAGTGCGCTTTGGGCCGAGGCCAAAGGAACAAGGGGCAGTCTGGGGGCCGCAAAGAAAGGGCCACCCCACTGCGAGAAAGGCGTCCAAAAGGCAGGGCAAAAGGCAGGCAAAAGGCAGTCAGCTGCCAAAATGAAGCCAAGGGCAGCCAAAGAGTAGGAAAATGGCCACAAAACTCAGCCAAACGCAAGCCGAAAGGCAGGGAACCCAAAGGTACTTATAGAGGGCCAACGGGACCGCCTCGCTGAGGGCTCTGAGGGCTCTGAGGGCGCTGAGGGCCATAAGGGTGGGTTGTGGGTCACGTCGCACAGTCTGGGACGCAAAGGGCCGCGCCTCTGCGCCAAAGGGAGGCAACGGGAGCCAAAGGGACGCGCGATCCAACAACACGGAACGAGCAAAGTTGAAACGGGAGCCGGGACCCTTTTTTTTCTGGGCCACGATGGATGCTTTGATCGCCGACGGGAGGGAAGTTTACTCTGGGGTCGGATGCACCCTGCGCGAGCCTGCGTCTGCCCTGGGACGGCGACAAGGGCAGTGTTCTCACTCGCGCTCACGATAAAATTACAACGAATCGAACGCAAACACACTGTGCGGCGGTCTAGCCTCCTGCAAGGACCTTCAGGCGAAGACGCCGTGAGGATAGGCAGCCCATCCGACACGCGTGCTCGACGGGCTCGCTTGGGAGAATCAGACACTTCAGAATCTGTCTCACCTTCCGTGACCCGCATTTACCATCGTCCCATGTCGCTTGCTTTTGCCGGTTATGAATGCTGTCACGTGACTGGCCCGCGTCCTCGACATGGATGGCCAGCGGCGCGTGCGAACGCGCCGAACGCGCGGCACAGTGGCCCAGTGAGCGCGGGGCCGCGGTGCGTCACGACGACGAGCCAGCCCAGCCGGAAGGCCGGAAGCGGACCTTTGTCCGAAAAATGAGGAATAACCGGACAATGGATATGCGGACGGGGCGGGTCAGTGGTTGAAAAAGCCAATCCCGGTACCGCGGTCCACGCGGGGAAAGTTCGTATTGTTGCGGGGGGGATTTCGGGCGTATCGCTGATGGAGATTCGATTGAGTGGTCTGCACTCTAAAAAGCCGAGTTTCAACACGTAAATTCACTTGAATATTCCATGTAACTTGTTGCAAGCCAATTTTCTCGGTTTTCGATCCGGCTATAGTCGGACCTCCTTAGTAGTGATCCGAGTTTTTTTTTCAGTGGACTGGCCTTCCCTGTTGCAGACGCACCCCTGCGGCCCGGCGGTGGCGCGGAGGCCTCGGCCAGACGGCCGTCGAGGTGGCCGTCGAGGAGGCCGCTGATTGGTCGGTGGAGCCGAGCATGCCCCGCGGGGGGACTCGGCGGTGCCCGCCGTGCCCGCGAGCCGTCGCCGGCCCGGACCGGAGACGGCCCCGTCAGCCCCACCCCGGTGTGCGCCCGTCCGCCGGGCCGCCGAGGTGAGCCGGACCGGAAGTTGACCGGAAGTGGACCGGAAGCGGACCGGAAGCGGACAGCAAGCGAGCCAGAATCGGACCGGAAGTGGGCCGGAAGCGGACAGCAAGCGAGCCAGAATCGGACCGGAAGTGGACCGGAAGCGGACCGGAAGTGGACCGGAAACGGACCGGAAGCGGACAGCAAGCGGGCCAGAAACGGACCGGAAGCGGACCGGAAGCGGACCGGGAGACGGCGAACAGAAGACGCTCCAAGCGGTAAGTGCCAGGCGTTTTTGGCAGCCGAGAAAGAAGCCGGGCTGGAACGTGCGCCAGCCTCGGCGACAGCGCAGTAAGAGTTACTGGCGGGAAGCACGTGCACTGCGTTCACCCAACTGGCAACCACACTCTCAAAACAAACTATTCTAGCTGCCTTTCAAAAAAAGTAAGCTTGCCATATAGAAGTATTTTGGGCGTTTTTAAGAACACTGAGTTCAGTCAGTACGCTTTGGATTTTGTGGTGGTACTGTGAAATTCTTGGGACTCCTTTGAAAAAACAAAGGGGCGTTTTTAGCGTGCGACGCGATAGTTCGTTCCAGCGGGTTCCTCGCCTCTTACACGGTTGTTACACGAGTGTGCCTGCCTTTGGCGTGCCGGGTGGAGTTCTAATTAGACGGCATTATGAGCACTCCACAGTTTCTAGAGCAGCTGCTTGGCAGTGCTCTGGGAACGGAGACGTCGGCATGACTTGCAGAGCGAACTGCACCGAAGAGGCTTCATGCAAGGGAATGCTGCAGGCGCCGAAACGCGCCAGTTTTTACGTTTTTGCAGTGCGGGGCACGGTGGGCCGCCTCCACCGGTCTTCTGGCGCACTGCGCTGCGTGCGCGAGGACAACCAAGCGGGCCGGCTTTCCGGTGAAGCACGCGTTTCTGCAGCATTCTTACCCGACGAAAACGCCGGCGAATCTGTTTAACACGATCCCGTCACCCCGTTAGGTCATCATAGCGCGTCGGCGCGTCGCTGTGCCCTGGCACGGCACGCACGTCAGAGCACGCCACGCCACGCCGCGCCACGGCGCGTCGAAGCACACAGCTCTCGTGTGGAAGGGCAGGGCCGGCAGGGCGGCGGCCAGTCCCGTTACCTGCCCGCAAGTGGTGGCGGCACCGCCAGGGCACCGCCAGGGCACCGCCACGGCCGGCGCTCCGTCTCTCTCGCACTCACGCAGCGTCCCGCAAAGGCGCGAGAGAGACGGAAACACCGTTCGGACTCACTCCCAGCTGGTCACGGGACCGCCGGCTCTGCCTCGGTTTACCCGGATTTTCGTACCGTTTTCGGACAGGTTTGCTCGTATCGGACTTTGTATTTGGCAACACTGTGAAGGTCAGATTTATCACCAGCAATGCCCGAGTAAACGGTAAAGTGAAACAAACGATCTGTTTGGAGAAACGAATAGGTCAACGTTGTTGGGTTGACAGGTCGACGCTCTCTGAAAACACTACGAACTATTTTAGGCCTTACAAAGCAAAGCAGCTTTTTGTAGCAAAATATTTTGGGCATACAGAGGCTTACAAAGAAAATTCTTCGTAATTTACTAACTATTTCTTCAAGTTACAAACTAGTCCTGAACCCTACATATGTTTAAGATACTTCCTAAGGTTTTAAGCGTGCGTATCACAGACTCGTGTTTTCAAAGTCAACATGCGTGGAAAAAAATCAAGAATACGCACCTTAAAATATATTTTTTTCCGGTCAGTTTATAGAAAACCGCAGAAATAATTGTCTGGAGCGCGGGAGAACGGGACGCCGTCCGAGGAATACCAGTGTACCGTACCGCGGCGGCACGACAATGCCTCATTTGTTTGTGCGGCTGCCGAAATTTGAATATATAGGCCAGGAGGAGCACGGCGGTGAGGCGGCAGAAGAGTCTGACGGCGGGGGAGGGGGGGGAGGAGGAGGGGAAGGGCGAGGAGGCCTCCAGGTGCCGTGCTGCGCTGCGTCCGTCCATCCTCCGGCCTGCCAGTGTGTGTGTGGAGGCCGGCGCGAGAGGTACCAGCCGGGCAGTCGTGCGCCTGTGTGAGTGTTTTGGGTGCCGATTCGTCAACGCGAGCGGACTACAAACGGGGAAGTGCCACAGCTCCGCAGTCCCCGTCGTCGTCGCATTTTCACAGTAAAAAAGAGGTAAGGTTTCAAGTTCTTGTTTGAAAAATAGCCGGTCAGCATTGCTTAGACTGAGGGGAGGGAAGTTCCAAACTGTGTGTGGTCTACTTGAAAAGAGAAAAAAATGCAGAGGGATCTCCTCGAAAAAAATAAAATTAACTGACGCATTTCTCAAGACTTGAATGACGTTCTCAAGCTGAGAAGATATGCAAGGACTTTTCTTCTCATCTCAAAAGTGGCGACCATTTAGTGTAGAAATACTAGAGAGTTACTTAGGAATACGAAGATGAACCAAAACGGTCAGCTGTTTCCCGGCAGTGTACTGATTGGGTGATAATACGAGAGGCAGGGTGTTGACCCCAGGGGCCTTATGCAGCCCCGAGAACACGTTTCGGGCCTGCCTTTGGGCCTGCTTATAGGTCAGGGGAGTGTCAGAGGTGGGGAGGAGGGCTACACCCGTTACCTCCCAGCCCGAGTCGAAATAACCTAACTCGGTGAGACGTTCCGGGCTGAAAACGGGTACCCGGTAGTCTGCCTTTGTCGCTCCGCCGGGGGGGACGGCGGGGCGGGATGCTGAGTCACACGGCTCACACCGTTAAAAATAAAAAAATCTTTACAGACTTTAAAGTGGGTTTTCTGTGCGGTGTGGGGGCCTTTTGGCACACTGACGTGCTGATAAACGTGCGAGGATCATCTCCACAGCCTAGGCTGGGCCGCCCTACGCTGGGCCGCCCAGGAGGCAGTATTAGGACAACAAAAGGCTGCGAGTGTGAATGACCAAAACAACAACAGCACTAATCCGTCGAAGCCAGTTCGCACTGTGAGGTGCTCATTGCCAGCGGGACCGCTTACGGGGCTAATCCGCTTTGTTGCGCTGGGCGACCTGCCGGGCTGGAGAGACAACAGGCAAAAGTTCGAATCAATAAGTACGCAGTATACTCTCAGCCTTTTACTGGCTATTTCTCATTAGCAGACACATTTTGAAGTCGCATTGACATCCTATGGACTGCTTCGTTCCCCCTGAGATGAGCAGATGGGTCCGGGGCGCTTGAAGCATTCAAGCCCCAGCTCCCCTCGGCGACCGATTCGTCGATGGCCAAGGCGGCCAAGGCCCTCCTGTTGGACCAGCCATTGCGAGTCGGCGCGCGTCCCGGACTCTACTCGCCTTCTTGTCCGAAGATCAAAGCGGGACCCGCCCATCACGTCCCAGAGTGGAGCTGCTTCCGCGTTTTGGCGACCGCGTTCGAAAACGGCCCGGTATTGAGTGGTATTGAGACTGTCTTCGAAGGAACAGTGGGTGGCAACAAGCCACACCCATGATGAGAGTGGTTTTGGGACTGCCAGGACTCTGCTGGAAACTGGAAAAGTTTTATGCTTACTTGCGACTTTTCCAATAGTTTTTATTAGATGGAAACGCTTTGGGGGTGGGGGGCTGCTGAACCCGTCCGAAATCAAAGTCTTGGATTGAAGAATACGCACACTGACTTCGTGTTCCGTCCGGTTCTTTTCTTCGGAACTCGGAGCTGGGCTCAGGTTGACATTGCCATCCACTCCAGGATTTTGCTTTCTCCATTCAAACTCGCAAAGTCTATAGAACTCGAGACCAGTGCAGGCGCGTCTCCTCTCGGTCGGCCCGAGCCAGTCCATGTCCAGTCCACTGCAGTCCTGCGGCCTGCATGCAGCACCAGAACAAGAAGCATAAAGCCATGGCCGGCCGTGACGGCCTCGCGGGCCTTGCAACCGAGCAACAGGTTTTTTGTTCGGATATCAAACGTGCGAAAAACAGGAAAGAGTTTTCGAAAAATAACTTTTTTTATCGACCATAATTGCAGATTATTTTTAAAAATGTTTTGTTTTTAGCTGGCAAGCTAAAAGCAGGAACCAGTAGGTATCGTTCTTAGCGGTTCGTGGGTTTTTGATTACTTGTTCTTCACTTGGCGACGACTGAAAGGGTCAATTGGGCTGGCTCGACCAAGCACACCCCGAAGCGAGTAAGCTGCACCTCACCCACGCAGGGCGAACGCAGGGCGTGTTACGCAGGGCGAACGCAGGGCGGCCCTTTTCTTGCCCCGATCGGGAGAAAGTGTGTGGCGCGTGTCGCGTGTCCACCAGACACGTGCGAAAAACACGTGTGTGAAAGCTGCGGGGGGCATTACCCGCCGCGCTGGCCGCGCTGGCCGCGCACGCGCGCGCTAGTCGAGCCAAAGCAAGCCCTGTCGATGCACTGCGGGCCACGGCGGGCCCATGGCGGGGCCCGCGGAGGCGCACACTGGGAAAACGGCAAAGGAAAGTCCGAGAAGGCAGAACCATTGGCGGTGCGGTGCGGCCTTCCGCGCGGGGGACCCTGGTGCACCGCAAGGGACCGTCCGCGAGTCCGAGAGACACTCCAGGCTCGGCGACGCAAACGATGCACAATGGGCTGGAAGACCGGTGGAGGCGGCCCAAGCGCCAGACGCGTTTTGAGCTCCAGAGTCGCTAAATGGGACTTGAACCAAACGGCTGACCCCGTCAATGGATTGCTCTCCGAACGAGGAATCTGTATTGCTGCGGTCACACGCTCGGTTCGAGTCCTGTTTGGAGCTCAAAACGCGTCGTGAATTTCGGCCGCCTCCACTGGTCTTCTAGCCCCCTGAACGTAGCGATGCTGAGGTAGCCATCATGGCTCCTTGGAAGCTAGAAGCACGTCGACATTGTCATCGAGTGACAACCAAAGTTTTGACGGTGTGGTGGCGGCAACTCTCTTCCCGGGGTGCACTCTCTCCAAGGGTCGTCGATGCCGCCCCGTGCATGACGAGATTAGTGCAGCCAGGTCAGGCGGGGGCTCGGGCCGGCTAGGGCCGGCTAGGGCCATGAGGCGGGTCAAGGGGCCTAAAATTGGTCACGTAGTTTGGCCCTTAATTGGGGCTGGGATGCGGCTCACGGCCCAGCACGCGTTCGGTGGCAACGCTGCGGGGACAGGCAGCCAGGCTGAGCTAGCCCCCGAGCCGAGGCTCTGGGGACAACTTGAACGCAGAGACACTGCGCAGGTCGGACTTACCTAGCGCGATACATATTCCATGATGGTCTTGATGATGATCTTGTCCTGGCCTTGGCTGTTCCAGGGCAGCTTTCAAAAAGCCCTGGTAAGGAAAGAAAAGCTCATTGAGATAAGGAACTCTCAGAGCTTAAGGAAGCTTAGGGTCTAGACTGATGCTGTGGGTGCTGAGGGATGGTGGGCCACTTGTGAGCACCGTATAAGAACGATTCGGACTCGCGTAAACTGACCCCACCCTAAGGACCATCTCTCCGGGGGGAAGGTTGACTAAAGCATCCGCCAGAAGGATTCGTCTTTCTCACAAAGTAACCCTCAGCGATCAGAACGGCATCTTAAGACCGAGACCATCAGCATAGCCCTAGCCGCAGGGCAAGGCATTCCAGGCATAGCTGGCACAACAGTGCCTTATGGGCAGCAGCGGGGAGAGAGGGAGGGAGAGAGAGAGAGAGAGAGAGATAGTCCCGACGGTGCGTTCGAACGGTAATTTGTACTTTTGTTTTTCCTCGCGACGTGCCTGAGCCGCACCTGTCTGCCGTCCTTGTCACACACCTGGGGTGGGGCCGGGGGCAGCACGGGGACCAAGGGGGGCCCCCAGCCGAGCCGCGGGGCCGAGGCGCGTGTAACGGTGTCTTTCTAGGGCATCAACGCCCCCTTCCGCAGCCGCAACACTTTTATTTATACTATTTTTACTATTATTATTATTATTATTATTATTATTATTATTATTATTATTATTATTATTATTATTATTATTATTATTATTATTATTATTATATTATTATTATTATCATTATTATTAGTTGTTGTTGTTGGCTGGCGGGCTCTGATAGATATGATGTGCGTCCCTCCCCCGCGCTTTATAAATGGCCGTGTGCGACAGGGGAGATGGATGAAGTGTATCGCCTGGGGCGACCAGGGCGAGGCTGGCTGCCCGGGTCCCTTTCTTCGTGTCCCTTCGAGTCCCTCCGGGTCTCTTCCAGTCCCTTCGGTTCCATCAAGGACCAAGGGCTTGGCAGGTCCTGGACGGCCCGGTGAACTCGCCCGAGTCGTCGCGAACCGCGCGAGTTCATGCGCCGACTGCGAGGGCATGACACACCGGTTCATCGTCTAGAGAGCAATACAGTGGGAGGGTCACAGGTTCGGTTCGAGTTCTGTTCAGCGACTCTGGAGCTCAAAACGCGTCTAGCTTTGACCGCCTGCGCCGGTCTGCTGGCTCACTGGGCACCGAGTGAGGGAGAGGTCGCGTTTTGATGTGTATGTCCGAATGTTTGGACGAAACAGCGATGTCTTTCTTTCTTTCTTTCGCCGGGAATCCGGCAATGGTCACAACGAGCTGCACTCCGCGAGTTGGAAAGAAAAGCGGGGGACATGTCGAAGTGGGAGTGGAAGCCCGCATGGCGGCCGCACGGCGCTCAGAGGGGGGCAGCGGGGCAGACAGCCAACTACTACAACAGTGACTGTGTCAAAGTCGCGCACCGCATCGCCGCTTCGACTCCAATCGCTTTATCGGCCAGACGCGGCGTTTGCAAGCCTCGCGTTTATTGCAAGTCACCACAGGCATATGGAAGATTCGCAACAGCAACGCACGCAACAGTTAAAATAATTTCAAATTACTGATTAAGCTCAGACAAAATTCATTTAGTGGAGATTTATAATTCAGGTAATGAATAATTAATCCGAGGAGTTAGCTTTTAGAGACAAGGCTGTCTAAAATTTGTGGTGGGCTAATATTTGAGCTGAACGTCGTATAACCTAACCGTACGCGTCCGAGTCTGCAAGTGTAGAGCGATAATTAATTCTTCTTAGAAGAGTAGCCAGGAAACACCCACACCGTGTATCCCAGACCCTGGCGGCAAGGCTCACAAACGCATTGCGTTCCGCCAAGTTGGTAGCGAATCTCTGTGGGCTGCGTAACCTTCACCGTGCCCCCCACCCCTTTCCCACCCCCACCCCTTTCCCTGGCAGCTGGAAAAATAAGTCAGTAGCGTGTAGGTTAGGGCGGCGGCGTGCAGGGGGTAGCAGTGCGTGCGCTTGACGGGGGCGAGGGGGGAGGGGGTTCCAACGGCGGGAGAAGGGCTTCAAACGGGGGGAGGGGGAGAGACCCTGACAGGGGTGGCGATCAGCTGTGTGCCCCCTACCCCCCGACGCCCCCACCCCCCACTCCGAATCGATACGGGGCCAGCGGGGACGACGGGGCAGAGAGGCGGGGGCAGCGGGACGAGACAGAGATGTTACCCCCTCCACATGCATGCATGCACACACGCGCGCGTACACACACACAAACACACACACACATACATACGCACACGCGCACACACACCATAAACGTGCAAATTTAATAAAACGGGATTTAGGCCTGGCATGGCGCGCAGAGACTTCCCTCTTGCTGGGCTATAAGCGCCGCTGCGCGCGTAAAACGAGTGTCAGTCAGCTTTTTCTACAGAGTGATAACCCGACTTTCCATCCAATTTAATCTTTTCCCCAGAGGTGCTGAGCTACGCGCGGGAGACAAATGGACCCACAGTCAGCTCTTTCTAATGACTGACACTCCGATGCCCAGTGGCAGTGTTGCCACACAAAGTAGGCAAATAATTCCCACCATGCAGTGCAGTAAGGGTTGCCAACGTCAGCCTGCCCACTAGGCAATATTTGGATTGTGTAGGCTGAGGGTTGGCAACCCTTCCGACCCTTTTGCGTTGAGGAATGCTTTGCCTACTTATGTTGGCAACCCTTTCGACACTTGATCTGCGTTGTGGGATGATTTGCCTACCTAATGTTGGCAACACAGAAGGGAACGCGGTGGCAGCGGACGAGGAAAAGACGGGCGCACACGGCGAAGAGGGAGGAAGGAGAAATGAGGAGAAAAGGAAAGGGTTAGCCTGGCATGGCCTGGCATGGCCAGGCCCAGCGAGGGGCGGCATGGCGCGCGCACTTCGAGGGTTTGCTTTGCCTGGCCTCACACGTGTACACACACGCACATATTCAGTCACGAACGCGGGCGTACACACGCACGTGTGCACACACACACACACACACACACACACACGTGTGCATACGGCCCGCCAAAGTTTGTGGGGGTGGGCCAAAGCCAGGCCAAAGCCAGGTCAAAGCCAGGTCAAAGCATGAGCGAAGTGCGGGAAAAGGCGCGGGAAAACGCACGCACACTGGCAGAGAGCCTCACCGCGGCTTCAATTCGTAATGCGGATCCAAAAAGTTGGCGGGCAGGGCACGGGCGGCGGGTTGGGGGCGTTTTCGCAGGCGATGCCCCTGACCCTGACACCTGCCACGCCCCGCCACGCCGCGCCACGGCTCACGTCACAGAGGGAGGGGGAGAGAGAGAGAGCGTGCGGTACTGCTGCCTTTAAAATTCAACGGCAGAGCCTCGCCGAAAAAAACAACAACAGTATTCCTGGTTTGCTTATCGAGCTTTTCGACTGTGCCCGCAGGCCGCTGCCCCGCCATGGCCGCCATGCGGTCGCTGACCACGCTGGCCTTGGCGCTGGCCGTGGCGCTGGCCCTGGCCGTGTCCGAGGCCGTGCCCCAGGACAAGGCGGCCGACTCGGCGGACGACCTCTACTACCGCCAGCAGGGCGGCCAGCAGGGCCTCGGCCAGGTCGACGACGTCGCCGTGGACGCCGAGGCGTCGGCCAACCCTTCCGGCCCGTCCGACCCGCTGGCGGCCTCGGACCCCAGCCTGCTGAGGTCGGTGGGCGGCGCTGGCGGCTACAACCCCAACAGCGCCTACCAGCCCGGCGGCTTCCAGTACCAGGCCGCCGGCTACCAGCCCGGCCTCGGCACCTACCAGGCCTCCGCCACGGGCGCGGACGCCGTGGCCGCGTCGCACGACCAGCTCGACTTCAAGTACCACAACTACGAGAAGATGACCAAGTACTTGAGGACCACGTCGAGCCGCTACCCCAACCTCACGGCACTGTACTCCATCGGCAAGTCGGTTCAAGGTGAGTCGCCACTTTCGGAATCACAACAGCGCCCACCTTCCCCTCTCTCCCAAATTTGCCAATCTGGCTGGCGCCGTTCAGTGGGCCAGAAGACTGGCGCCTCCACCGGCCTTCTGGCCCACTGTGCGGCGCTCTCCCTCTCGCTGACCCTGGCTTTGTGATAAACGTGTCCGGAGGACCAACTTGGAAACTAAAGGCAAACTGCAGCCACCCAGTGGCGTGGCGGGTGGCGGCGGGGGCGACGGGCTGCAGCTGCTGGGCGAAACGAGTTTCGGCAGGAAGTACGCCCCAGGCCCCAACTTCCCGTTCACCTGTGCGTCCCCTGCCGCCGCCTGCCCCCGCCCCCCGGCCGTCCCATAAAAATGAACGACCTGGCGGTTACCGCGCAATGGAACTTTAGCCAGACTTGTTGCATAGTTCCGCGGCGCGAAAGGAAGGTTGATGTGTGCTCCGTTTCCCCGATTCCGGCGGGACCGTAACTCACACCCAGATTCCAGGGGCTGCATCTCGCAAACGGCGACAGTCAAAAGTGTTGCTGGCGCACAAAAAAAAGAGTTTATTGTGGTGATCGACTTTTTTCAGCTGCAATTATCGACAGTCCAATACTAGACTCTGGCCGCTGATCAGACGCTTGAACGACGACAACCCCAGAAGAAGGGGCCGGCAATCCGCACCACTGTTTCTTGCTCTGAATGTTTGTTTCTCCGCGCAGGCCGCGACTTGTGGGTGATGGTGGTGTCCGCCTCCCCCTACGAGCACATGATCGGCAAGCCCGACGTCAAGTACGTGGCCAACATGCACGGCAACGAGGCGGTGGGCCGGGAGCTCATGCTGCACCTCATCCAGGTCGGACTTCACTACCCACAGTGGGCCAGAAATCTGGACGCGTTTTGAGCTCCAGAGCCTCTAAACAGGCCTCGAACCACACGTGTGACCCCACCAATGGATTCCTCGTTCGGAGAGCAATCCATTGGTGGGGTCACACGTTCGGTTCGAGTTCCAATTCGCGACTCCGGAGCTCAAAACGCGCTCGGGATTTTGACCACCTCCACGGGTGTTCTGAACCACGTCAACTAATTAAGTTAACACATTGCTAAACTGATTCCCACTTGACATCCTCTCGCAGTACCTGGTCAACAGCTACTCCACGGACCCGTACATCAAGTGGCTGCTGGACAACACGCGCATCCACCTGCTCCCCTCCATGAACCCCGACGGCTTCGAGGTCTCCAGGGAGGGCCAGTGCGACGGCGGCCAGGGCCGCTACAACGCCCGCGGCTTCGACCTCAACAGGAACTTCCCGGACTACTTCAAGCAGGTACGCTACCAAGCATCGTCGACGTGTCAATTTTTAGCAATTTTTGTTGATAACTGGAAACAACTTTGCGCGTAACCAAATCTGGTGACAGAAGTTTAACCAGCTGGTGACAAATTTTGCTGGCTGGTTACAAGTTTGTCACCAAATTTGACAATGCATTAAATTGTCTCGAGTTGTCATAACAAAAATTGTCCACAGATATCAAGTGTGAACTAAATTCATACCGATATTTAGCTGGACTTGTGTGGTGTGGGCTAATTAATGGTGGTTTGTTTCCCTTTCGCCTACCTTTTGGATTGTAAGGCCGGGGATCGCGTAAGTAAATTACGTCAGGGTGGCTCACAACGCCTGCACTGAATTAGCTTTGAAATTGTCATCAAGTGACGACTCAAATTTTCACAATGTTCCTGTCTCACACTTGGATTTGCCGCGCGTCTAATTTGGCTGTTTGGCACGGTTTGCAAATATTCTCGAGTGAATACTGACGTCATCATTGGTCCGGCCGACAGAACAACAAGCGGGGCCAGCCTGAGACGGACGCGGTCAAGGAGTGGACGTCCAAGATCCAGTTCGTGCTCTCGGGGGGACTCCACGGCGGCGCCCTGGTGGCGAGCTATCCATTCGACAACACGCCCAACTCCAGTGAGTACACTGCAAGGTGGACACAAATCCACCTTGTGCAATTAATGCTAGACAGTTTGGCCTTGGGGTTCTTGCCTATTTTCATAAGAAAAAGAAAAAAGGAGTGCCACTGGCAAGGAAATTTGCCAACAGATTTGCAATAAAAAAAAAACTTCATCTAAAAAATATGTTTAAGAAAATTGAAACGTTGTCGAATTGTGATGACAGTGTTGTGAACGGAATGTGTGTGTGTCTGTGATTTTTGCTGCGCCTTGGAAGGAATGTGTCGGTCTACGCCGCTCTGCTCAGGTAAGGCCGCATTTCACTACACGCGGCGCCGCACGGTACCGTGACCAATTTATTCCAAGCGTTTCCCGCACTGGAATAAACAGAAAAAAAAACGACGGCGTGTACTGTAAAAAATACATTGGAAAATGCAAGCAGCGCTTTCCGCAGCTTCTTCAAAAATTTCCACAAGCTTCATATTTTTAAAGGGCATTTTTTCTACGATTGCCTGCTTGAAACCCATTTAAAATAGAAACATAGTATGTTTTGAAATTCGTTCCAAAGGTTGGAGGCAATTTTTTCCCCCAGCACGTTCTCCGGGAATGTCCAAGAATTTCGTTCGACAGTGTGACAGGGATTGTGAAAACGCGTTTGCAGTGTTCCAGAACTACGCGTCGACGCCGTCCCTGACGCCCGACGACGACGTGTTCAAGCACCTGGCCCTCACCTACTCCACCAACCACCCCGTCATGAGCCGCGGCGTGGCCTGCAAGGCCGGCACCCCCGCCTTCAACAGGGGCATCACCAACGGCGCCGAGTGGTACCCCCTCACCGGTACGACGAGAATAAGGACATTTTTTGTTGCGCTGATCGTATGAGTGGAAACTGAAACTGGCGATGTTGCAGGCGGCATGCAGGACTTCAACTACGTGTGGTACGGATGCATGGAGGTGACGCTGGAGCTGTCGTGCTGCAAGTTCCCGCCCGCGTCTGAGCTGCCCAAGTTCTGGGAGGAGAACAGAGTGGTACGTCTCCATTTAGTTTCTGTCTCTCTCGCACCCTTGCGGGACGCCCCATGAGCGCGAGAGAGACAGAGCGAAGACCCAGCCCACCCCTCTTGCCCGCAGTCGCTGGTCAAGTTCCTGGCGGAGGCGCACCGCGGCGTGCACGGCTTCGTCATGGACGAGAACGGCAACCCCGTGGAGAAGGCCGCCCTCAAGGTCAAGGGCCGCGACGTCGGCTTCCAGACCACCAAGTACGGCGAGTTCTGGCGCATCCTGCTGCCCGGAGTCTACAAGCTGGAGGTCAGTGCAGGGAGAGGAGAGGAGGCGACCACTTGAAACCAAAGCCTCTTCACAAGCTCCCTACACCTTGCAGGTGTACGCCGAGGGCTACCTGCCCCGCGAGGTGGACCTGATGGTGGTGGAGCAGCACCCCACGCTGCTCAACGTGACCCTGCACCCCGCCAAGGTAGGCCCCGTCATCTACGCGTCGCCGCCGTCGCTGGCGCCGCACTGGCCGGTGCCGGACTTCTCGGCGGGCGAGGACAACAGCAGCGGCTGGCGGTGGGCGGCCGCGGCGGCGGCCTGGTGGTGGTCCTCGGACAGGGGCGGCGGCGGCGGCGGTACGACCAAGCACCAGCTGACCAGCCGGTACCCCACCCCCGCGCCGCGCCACCATCCCTCGTCCGCGCCCTCGCCGCCGCCCCTGCCGCGCGCCCTGCCCCTCGCCGCGCTGCTGCTCTTGCTGACGGCCTGCAGGCTCAGCTGATGCAGCGTCCCGGGCGGCCCTCGGGCGCCGGCCGCGTCCTGCACGACGTCCTGCACGACGTCCTGCACGTCGCTTGCGGTGGTGGTGGGGAAATGGTGCTGGTTGCACGTCAACATGCTCGCACGGTCGTCTTCGAGACTCCCGGGGGAAACACACTGAATGTTCCAAGTTAAAAGTCTATTTTGTCACTTTTCTTCGGAAAAGAGAAAGGGTCAACATGCCTTCGAGTTATATTTTGTAAGAGAGATAATGAAGTGTGAAAGTGTGCCATATTTTCTAAACAGTAGCATATGTTATGATATGCGATGTTCCGATGTTTTCAAAGCGAGAGCTAGCCACTCAAGTTCAAGATTACCCGCCTTGCGGGTAGGCAGCCCTTCGCGCACCAGAGACGAACAGTTGCCTACCTCCGCCTACAGTTGCTGCCATGCCAACCTCGGGTAGCCGTGCTGATGTTACAGGAGTCGTATTTCAGAACACTAATCCATCCATTCACGGTAGATGACAGGTTCATGTTTCCCCCACGTCAGAATTCACAACCGTCAAAGCCTACAGAGCTGCGGCTGCGTTTTCAAAACAGCGTCAGTCAATAAATTCGAGTTCATACAGTGACTTTACAATGACTGACAATGTGAAATTTAAAAAAAAATGTGATTAGAAGTTGTCCTGGTGCGAAGTTGTGCTTTTAAGCTAAGTACATAGTTTCTAAGAAGGTGTCTTGCTGCTGGGGAAAGAGTGCTTCGGCTGTGTGTAGATGCTGGTGGGGTGTGGGGTGAGGGGTGAGGCTGTGAAGCCTAGGAGTGATGGCCTGAGCACGTACTGCACAAGAATCAAAGTGTCCTTCTCAATGAGCCCTTCGAAATGAATAGAGAATTGAGTTTATCACGCACTCAAATTTGGAAGGGTTTTCCCTTCGTTTTTGCTTTAGTTATTCACTTAGAGCAAATTAATTTTATGACTATGGTCTGCCTTGCACTTACTTCTGCATTCTCCACAGCGTGCACAAAACGAAATCATAAGTTGTTTTAGCTGAAGCCGTTTTAAAATGATATTTATATCTTTGTGTGTACATGTCCTCAGCTCTCATTCCCTGGGTTGTATTGTTGTAATGAAAATTTAGTAAATTTATTAAAATACGGATGGTGATTGATTAATATTAAGTTAGGAAGCATTAGAACTCGAGCGTGTCAGAAAATAGTGAGCTTTGTTACACGCCCCAGTATGAAATCGACTGCAACATGTGCAAGGAGCACCCAAATGTGTCTTTTTCAACAACACATAAATTTAAGCGCCCACGCACATTTAAGAAAATTCAATGGGCTCATTCAACCAAAATCTTAGTTCCTCCTTTAAAAAGAAAAGCCACTTGCATGCAAGATGTTGTTAGTTACATGGTCCAATCTTACACTAAATTGTGATTTCATCTTAACATTTTGATCAAACAGACTCGGGACCAACATGAGGTTTTCAAAATGCAAATTCCCTGCAAAATGTGCCATCCTTTTTCTTATAATGTTAATAATTTTGTAGAAATTTTAAAACAATTCTGTTCTGCTCCTGGAACAAAATGTACACATACATGCTTCAGTTCTTTAACACCTAATATCTTCTTATTGAGCAAGCCTCCAAAAAGAAATGCTAATTGCACTGGATTATCATGGTTTGACACTCCCTTTATACAATTTATGCATTTTCTTGATCCTGAAACATTGTAGGGAATAGATTTCATAATTTTAATTGAGAAAAATTCAGTATTTACAAAAATAAATAGATCACATAGAGTTAACAGTAAATCTTTTAAATTTTTTGAATGTAGTATGTAAGTGGACGATAATAATCGCCACATGTATAGCTCTGCCAAACTGAGGGGTTTTATGAAAACCTCACAAGCAATAATATTATGATGGGAATTCTTTTGCCAAAATTATAACCCATTCACTAAAGTAAAACACTTTCAACTTTTAAGAAGAAATAAAGCAGCATAGTCTCGTAGTTATAAAAACCATGTGAATGCCACCCCTTTCTGTGATTTTCTTACTAGGCCAAAAGTATTTGTGCATAATTACGAGTCTATTTTAATAAATCTCTTCGCTCGACAGCATGAACTGTTTCTCTGTTCTTCTCAATTCCTATTCCTTTTCTTATGAATTATGTTTTCATATTGCTGAAAGTGTTTGTGTTGTTTTTTGTCTTCACTGTTCTATGGTGGTGGTGGTGGTGTGGTTTTACTGGTAGGTGTAAATAGGTGTTTGTGCAGACTTTGGACACCACTGGCCTTGGTCTCGCCAGTACGGACACAATCCTTGAGGGATCTGCCTTCCCCCCCCACACTTTTATATATGTGCCAACCGCCCCCCTTCGCTCCAGTGTGCCACCCTCACCACTGTTCCTTGCTGACACGGTGCTCTTTCCTTGTAAGTACCTCCAGCTGGTGCTATATCTTCAACAATAGTCACTATCTAATCTAAGTAGGTTATCAGCTGCTGATAGTACAGAAATATCAAACTTCAGCAACATCTCTTTTACAAATTTGCTTGTATTTGTTGATTTTCAGCATAATGCTTCATCTGCTATTCTTTGAAACATTTTACAATAAAGTAGATACATTTTCTGTAAATATGAGATTGTAAATATTGGCTTAGTGGGTTGTGGTGGTAGAAGTAATAATCATGCATGCTTCTTAGCTAGTTTGTGAAGATCAATGCAAACTATAGCTATTTGCTCAAAGTGTTTGTTCCTTAATTTTTATACTGACAAGGTTATTTATGTTTACAGCGAAATGACAACTTGTACCGCCATCCAACAGTAGGGGACCGTCTTGGCCCAGGTCCCAGCCCTTCCTACCACAATCAACATAGTCCACAATCCCACACCAGCAAGCCGGCCTCAGATGGGGGAATTTTCTCCAGCATTACATCAGGATTCAACAACTTTGTGAGCAACATTTTCGGATGAGACGTCTCAAAACACAATTTTGTAAGGCTTTGATAAGCTGCTTGCGCTTTGATAATGTCTGCCAGTTGTGGCTGTGCTCCCCAAAAGAACTGACAGAAATAATAACTTGGGGTGGACAAAATTATTTGAGGTCAGTAGCTTCACTTCACATGGACTAGGCATGTATGTATCTTCCATGCGAAAAAGCAGTGAAAACTGTGTGAATTTCCAGAAAACAAATCACATAATATGAAAATTGTAAGAACTCCAAATAATATGTTGGTTATGGAAACAAAATTAACCTCCGATGAAAATGTGTTTTCTGAATTCACACGTTTTCAAAGGCAGGATCTTCACTTACTTGATGCTGAAGGCATCCAGTTGCATGAAATCTTCCTCATTTACTTATTGATAAGTAGAATATCTATGTGATTCTTCCCTGAAAAAAGGGAACGAGATTTTTTTATACCACCCTAGAGGAGCAAACTATTGAAAGTAGGGCACAAGCTCTAAAATTTGAAACCATTAAATTTAGAGTATTACTGACACGAGGGATCTTGAAAAATTATGACAGAGCAAACAATGATCAATGACTAATTATCCCTACTAGTTTTTGTCTGTGGTAGAAACACTAAAAAATAAAACAGAAGTGTTCAAGGCTATATTTAAGTTTAGAATATAAGTTATATGACTATTTATGGTAAAAAGGTGTTTTATTTCCTCTTTCCTATCACATCACTGCTGACAAAATAATTTGAATGAAAAGTCCAAAAAATACCAAGAAAATTGTAAACAAAGACCACAGCCGGAAAAAGTAAGTTCATTCTGGAAATTTGGTATGACAAAGGATGTTCACAAAGCAAAAAAAAAAAGTTTAACAATATCAAGCTCATACCTGCATAAGAAATGGATCAATAAAACTATTAAGACTATCTTCTTTTGAATCCATACTTCTTCCTTTCATAGAATAGGTCTGTTTTAGAGCTTCCAAGATTTACAATCTTAGGGCAGCCATCCCTCTGCAATAAGTCGGAAGCATGTTAATCGCAAGCTTCAAAACGAAAGAGCATGAAAACATAAATGAGCAGTACTTACATCCTTTTCTTGTACTGTACATTCTTTGCAATAATAGGCATCTGATACACCAGGTCCACCACAAATGACACATCTTCCTTGATAAGAACCATAGTTGCATTCATCACAAATGCGAACTAATGTACAGGGACGCACATAGGAATCGCAGATAACACATTTACCGTCACACTTCTCACAAAGTCGACCAATAGCTGTAAACATAAAAGAGATACGAAATAGACACAGGGAAAAGCTTTCTAAATTGTTATTGAAAAAAATTCTTTCGACATATACGTTGAAAAGTAGCAACTATACCGGCATAACCTAATTGTTTGAAGAAACAGCATTATCGTTCCTTATTTACTCACCAACTCCAGGCTGTTTTCGACAGAAGATAAGATCGGGATGATGCTTGGCCATAATAACGTTGAGCTACGATTTGCTGGGTCACGAGTTTCAATAAATCCGGAAAGAAACTAAATTACCAGAGCGCAACTCCTCAAACAAAAACACATGGATCGAACGCGTCTTCGACCGATCTTCGAGTAATCGAAGGATGTCTGCGCCTTCTTGAATGGCGTCGTTCTCTCGCACTAACCTCCTTTGGGCGGAAGCAGGCGGAAGTGAACTTTTAATGGCACCCTCGGAACACGTCGTTTGTCTCTGTGTTTGAGGACAATATTGTCATTGCTCCTTTTCTGGGACTGCTGAATTTGAAAAAGTATCTCGCATTGAGTGAAACTCGCCGCGCTGAGTGATGGCGACTCTGGTCGAGGTGTTTCGAAATGAAACATGCGAATTAAAGCGAAGACAACTACCCCTCTTCGTCGACGATAATCTTTCGGTGGGTGCTGGTTGTGTTTTTGGTCCCGTGAGATTCTAATTGAAAACACAATTGACAACTAAGGCCGTCCCACCTTGACAGTTGTCGTTCCAGTGTCGCACTGGAAGACGCGTCAAAAGTTGTTGAAAATATCGTTCTGTGTTTGTGTTCACGAGATTGTCAGAGGGGGTGGGTAACCGACATAAGTGAATAGAATCAGTTCTTCTCTGAGGTACAGCGCTCTGGCTTCAATGTCTTGTTTTGATTTTACCTCCGATGATTTGAGCTCATATTGAGTCAGAATTTCAAACATTTTCCTACGTTATTCATAAGAAAAGATGGTGCCAATCGAAAAGAGAAGCTAGGTTAGGTTGTGACGCTGCCCGATTCGATTCCTGCCCAACTCCCCGGAGACACAAAATTTTTGCCTTAATCTGATACTTTTTAAAATTATTTTGGTGCTTTCCTCAATAGAATATCGTTAGAAACGTGGACTCTTCTCGCCCCCTCTGTCTTTTGTTGTTTTTATCATTGATTGACATCCTGCAAAACATTCAAGTTAGGTTATGAACATATGACTCAGAATTTTTATTGTCTTTTTGCCTTTGCATTTCAGATGGTTATGGATTTAAACTCAATGAACTTGGGTTGTGACAATCCCACTGTCAAAGGAAATGCACTGGAGGAGTTTTCACGAAAGTACAATGTTCTCACCATTAATGAAGTTCGTGAAGCTCTGCAAGTAAGCTGCAAGGACTTACTCTCTATCTTAAGTCAGACAGTGCCTTGTGTTGGTTGTCGTCGCAGGTATGTCCAATGCATTGGTTCATTTCTTTCAAGAACTCTATGTATTATTCTCCTTTAGTATGTCCATTTTAGAGACTTAGTGTTTACCTTGGCACCTGTTTCTTTACTTCTTATTGACTCATACTCATTATTCTTTCTTTTCAGTGTTGAGAGAGTTTTCTACCAACTCATGAAATCTGGTCACCCTGCCTTGGATCCAATTCTTATAAGTGAAGATGGTGTACTGTCTCTGCGGGACGACAAGACCGCAGCCCCTCAACCTTTATGCACGTTACTGTATAGGCATAGGTACGTAGCTTGGTTCATACAGTTTCTTTTGTTTAAATGTATATCAACACATGCAATAATGTTACATCTGTAATTTTTTTTTTCAGTGATTATCTTAGTAGTTTGGTAGAAAGTCAGCCTAGGTCTAAGAAGAGCAGACGGTGCGTTCTTCATTCCTTAGATTCTCAACGGACCAGAGTTGTAGTGACTGATCAGTGGCGGGATGCCTGGGACCGTATGAAACCTTTATGTAAAGATGAAGTTCTCTTAATTGAAGCATCTGCTTTACTCGCAACCCTCAACAATTATCTTCACAAACACAGGTATTTATCTGAAGCCAGTAATGGCCTTCTCCTACTGTTAGCTCATTCTGTTGTCAGCATTTTATCATACATTCATTTTATTGTATCTTTCTCACACTTTTTTCCCCTTATAGGTTTTGTGGAGAGTGCCGTACTAAAGTTATGCGGGCATATACTCTTCTTGTGGAAGACCCTGATCCGTGCAAAGAAAAAGGATACATTCCAGCTTTGTACTCTGGTATCAAGCGTTGCTTGCCAGACAAGCACATTCATCTGCAATGCAAAACTGACTACATAGCGGGCTTAATCACTAGGGCTGAGCCTGAGCTCCTTGGCAGCCGTAGGGAAAGACATGCCAAAACATTGGAGATCGCTCAGGAAGAAGTTTTAACCTGCCTTGGCATTTGTGTGTATGAAAGACTTCACCGAATCCACTTACGCCTCCGCGAAGAGGAGTGTACGTGTCAAGTTCTTGCAGCTGTTGCAGTGGATGCTCTTTGCAGAAATTTTGAGGTGTGTGAACATTTGTGTCTCATTATATGCTAATCGTAATGCTGAATACTAATTGATCTTTTGTCCGAGAAGCTTGCTGTTGAAACCAAAAGGGGCATTTCTCAGCTGGAGCTGCTCTACAAGGAAATGCAGCAGGAGGAGGCTGCCAAGCAGCGTTTAAAGGAACAGAAAAGGCTGAAGAAACGAAAGAAGAAGGAAAGAAGAAATGGCCAGGAACAAAACAATGTACATGAAGACAAAGATGGCTGTGAAGTAAGGAAGACGTCGAGTGTTTGCATTTCTTTTAGTGTTGATCTATGTGTGACTTAAAAACTTTGGTATTCTTTTGTAGTGTGAATCTGAAGAGCAGTCAGAGCCCACATGTGACCGACCAGCAAGCCCATGTTCATGCCCAGAAACCAGGCACCATGTAAATATTACTTCATTGTAGCTTTTTTATGTTATCAACAGTAGTCCTCATTATTAAACAATGTTGGATCATGTGTCTTTTTGGAGTTAAATAATTAATTTTGAATGTTCTGTGCAGGTTGATGTACTAACTGAAAAGCTTAATGGGGCTCCATGTGATTGTGAGGATTGTCGCAAGAAACAGGAGTCAGCTCACAAGACAGGCAGCCAAGAACCGAAACTGCAGCTCAACGGCAAAGACAACAGGTGTGTATTTTCCTTCTATTTCCCTTCCCGTGGTATTGCATCACAGTAAATACATCTTTTATGTGAACGGTGTTTATATCAACCTGAACTACTTCAATTATTTCTGGGAATAATGATAAATGCTGGACCCAGTTCATATTTTGTGGTCTCCTCTCTATTAAAGTAGTGGTATCGCTTGGTTCATTTATTATGATATGTAGTATGTGTTTATTAAACAAAATATTTATATTTTGTTTAAGTATTTGATGTTTGTGGCAGTGTCATTTTGACATTTTGTCCTACTTACACAATTTTGTCTGTTGCATTGTGATATACAGGAAAGGTGGTGGCAATACCCATACTTTGTCACCACCAAAGGATAAAGCTGCTCAACTGTCTAAGGTTAATGGTTCTGCGAAAGGAAAAACAGGCAACAATAACTTCTCTATTCCACACTGTGATTCTTGCCACGAGTCAGCTGAATGCAAAGGTAATTTTAAAAATCAATAATAAAAAGCAGGAAATGATTAGCCTTACTGGTTTTTGCATACTTGTTTTCTTATTCTTATTATTGTGAATCATGTAATTCCAGATGGAAAGAAAACTACAATGGGCAAAGGGAAGACTTGGGCTTCAGATCATTTGGCTGGTGATTGTGGATACTCATCTGGGCCAGGTCATCCAGACTGTGCATCCGGCACTGGATCCTCTAGCCTGCCCAGCTCACCAGATGGCTCGGAAGTAGCATGCTCTGATGGTTTTTGTAATGGTAATAAAAAAAATTTATTTTGTAGTGGGTAATAATTTCATCATGAGATTTTCATCAGCCCTAATGTGTGAATATTTTGTTGTTGATACAGGGGAATGTTCTGGTGAGGGATGCACAGAGTCACATAGTTCATCTCAAAACCACAAATCAGGTGTTGGCTTACAGCTCACCCTAGAGCAAATGCTTGAAGTGAGTGAAGAATTCTATAATGCATGTGCATGATTGATTGTCTAATCATCTTTGCAATTGTTAGAGATGTCTAATCTATGATTTATGTTCCTGATAGGAGTCCTGTTCATCTGAAGATGATGAAGAAAGTTATATTCCGGCTGAAGAAGTCCAAGAATTTCGAGCCCAAATGAGGAATGTTATGGAGAAACGTCAAGAGTTGCGTGAGACACTTAAAAATAGATTTGCCCAGCTTTGTGTTAATACTTGCAACCCACCTCAAAAAATATGGAAGTAAGACTGCTTTAGACTGTCTGCAGCTGCCTATTGATACTCCTGTGGTCTTATTTAGTGAGTATGGGAAACTGATTAATGTAAAGGGTATAAGTGTTCAACTTCATCTGCCTGTAAGGCCTGGCACCGAGTCTGTTTATCGCTTTTTTTTCCTGGAGACACCTATATTGATCATTTTAGAAAGTCCTTCAAAGTGTTGTCAGTGGATGTGATACTATACCAAATTGTGGAAAGCTCCTATTGGAGCTGTTGCATTTTATGAGTTTTGAATTTTGCCACATGTTTTGTGGGTATTGTTCTCAGCATCTGCTTATGTCCGGTTGCTGTGTTAAACGCTTATCAGTCCCATTAGGTGAATTGTTAATTGTTTTAGGAAATGAAAAAGACTGTATCAATTGTTTGAACCTCTCCTCTCTTTGCTATTTGTATTAGATTTAATGCTACTGGGGCAAACATTGCCTCCCATTACTCAAGTCATCTTCTATCGAATCATGGTGTGGAAGTCAGCTTTTGTGTTGTACCCCAATTGTTTTTCCAACTTATTGGCATATTGTTGAATTGTTTCTATTGGTTTTCTTCTTTCATCTTTTACTTAATTTTTAACTGAGTGTACCAGAAATCATTTAAGAGGTACCTAATGAAATGGATAGATCAAACTGTCCTCTCATGTAAGCATGGAAACTGTGTCTACCTAGGGTACTAGGGTAATCATGTAAATGTGTTTCAAAATTCATCTTTTGAATAGTATTTTGTTGATGGTCCCTCATGATGATGGTAGGAACATCTTCTTTGTACGGGTATTCATTCTTTAAAATATTTTCTAGTTGGCTGAGCATTGGTTGCTTCTTTAATAATTGTTTTTGGAGATCTTTTTATAGCAATCAATGAAAATCAATGCTGTGGAACATAGTATTCTGCATATTTGATTTGTCTCAAATGATTTATGCCTATCATTTTCTCCCTAGGTAATTAGTGGTTTTTTTTTACCCATTTTGTTTTTATTCCAAAAAAATTGTGAGCTGTGCTCTTGATATTTTGATGTAATTTTATAACCAATTCTTGCATGTTAAAATTTCCTTCTGCTTTCAAAAATTTATTACAGTGCACTTTTGGATGAAATTTAATTTTTGTGTTTTATCCGTTGGTATCTGTAGTTAACTCCCTCTGTTGTTCTCCCTGCCAACTATGCCCTAACCTTCTATTGCTCCCCAATGCCTATGCTCATGTGGCTGGAGTAGAAGCAGTTGCCAATAGCAAAGTGTGGCCTTAGAGATTAGCAACCTCATGTCATTAAAGAACCGGCAAGGCAGTTATCATTAAAAAAAAAAAAAAATGAGTGACTCGTTACAAAATAAGGTCCTCTGTATTAAAAGCACTCAAACCACCTAGGTCAAGTCAAAGTTAAAAGTAAATCGTTAAATTTTGAAAATATTCCCCACCTTCTTACAAAAAGAAGGGTTGCATGGGATCGCCAAAAAATTTTGAAAGCTAATTTTAGGTTGAGGGCCGAAAAAGGTTGGGAGCCATTGAGTTAGTGATAAATGGAACGTCCTTCCCTTTTTTATTGTTTTTGGTATTCATTGTTCTTCTGAGGTTTTTATGATTGGTAAAGTGCTTTTTCATATTTTTAGTTTCTATTCTGAATCAGGGCTTGTAACTTTTAGAGGTTGAGAATCATCAGGCTTCTACATAGAGAGAATCATGTGGACCAATCTTTGATAGGCAAGAATCAGCTCTGCTTAGTGCACGTCATTTAGGTTGAGTCAGTGTTATGAAATAGCCATGTGTCGTATTTTTTGGAGTCACGTGTATTTTGAATGAATTTACATTTGTTGAATTTTGCAGCATGAACCTTAAAAATATGCACATGGTTACAATCATTGTATTCCATGTTTCAACAACCTCCTTTTTCTTATTGGTGCAGATAGTATTGATATATTTTGCATTCCAAGTCAATTTTATTTACCAGATTCTATGATTGTTATGAGTAGGAACGTGGTTAAGTGTAAGAACTACCCATTCAGCTGATTGGTGGATGGGGTCGCCGTGGATAGCGCAACCAATATGGTGTGAACCCTTAAGTAAACCTAGCTCATAGTTCGTCACTTGGCAGCTGCAGGCAGTCTTTAAGTCAGATGTATTCCAGTCATTGGTTGCAAATAGTGCGATCCCTCTTCCTCAGTATTCTCCTCACTTGAACAGTGATATCCATCACCCTATTATGTGGTCATGGAATCCCAAGTGAAATCTGTAATGAAAATGACTAAAATACACGCCATAATGTCTGAAGTATGAACAATACTTCACCTAACATTATGGGATGGTAATGGAATAAATAATGCTTGAAATCAAAGACATTTATCTGATACTTTCATCCCGAAACCACCCAAATCACTTAGTTAGAGACAACAAGACAACAAAAAAATTGTTTGCAAATTTGCCTCATTGATAAAAAAAAATTAACATTGCTTTTAACTGTTTCTGGTGGTTTCCCTGGAACCCTGGCGACAGACGCCACCAAGTCATCACAACAATCCGTAGGCAACCCGTCGCGTTGGACGGGCTTGGCCGCCGGCTAGGCATTCTCTGGGACAAAACAAAACACACTTGCGCACGTCGCTCGCTACAGCTGTCTTTGTCTTTGTCAGCGATTCCGTAGCAAAAGCTGGCGCCAGGCCGACCCGACCGAGGAAGGGGAAACCTAAAGAAGTGTTTGAACGTGCGCGCGATGCAAACGATTTGATTGGCCTTCCCGGCCGAGGTTTACGCCGATTCGGAAATCGCGCCCGAGAAGTCAAGGTAGTCGCTCGCTTCTACGCACAAGACGAGAACGACGCAGGAACGCAGAGCGGGCAACGAGTCCAAACCGTCCTTACCGCCGGTCCGTTCCGTTTATCCATCGGTAAACCGACAAAAGAAAAGAAACGCCACGCCAGGGGTGGATTTAGAGACGGGGAAGACGGCGTGCAGGCAATGCTTTTGGCAGTGTGGCGGCTAGGCTGCGGGATCATGGGATCTGCGGGCCGCCTCGCCGCTCCGCCGCTTCCTGGACCAAATCAGTAATGTTCCGATCCATAATAGGCCTAACAAGGCGCGCACGGCGTGCCCGGGAGATGCGGCCCATGCGGCCCCCATCGGGCAGCATCGGGGCCCATTGGTCCGTCCGTGTCCCAGCCGCTCCTGCCGTTCTGGCAAACCGATTCCGAGAGTCGTAATTTATCTCGGCCGTCAATGCCTTGTCGCTGACGTGCACAGTGCCTCGCACAGTGCAGCGAGCACGCCCTGGCTAATCTAATTTTGAACAAAACTAGCTTGTTTTTTTTTAAGGTGATACTGACAACACTTGGACTTCACTGTGGGTCCCTTCCGGAAACCAACACAACGAGAGACGCACACTGTCTGTGCTCGCTCATCACCACCGCCTTCCTTGGAGCACGGCGTCCCGGGCGTTCCCTGCACTGCCGCCAGAGGACGCCACCCGCGGGCCTTCCCTGCCGGAACGAGTACGAGAGAGACAGAGAGACGAAGGCAGAGGGAGCCGAGGGGCCCGGCGAAGTATGGAGTGGCCATGGCCAAGGCGAGCGATGATAGAGTAGCGTGTCTGGTGGCGGAGCGGGGAGAAGAGAGGGTGTGCGCAAATTTACTCCGACATATTCCAGAAACGTTGACTCCCGCAATTGTGGGCAGTTCGAACCGTCTGAATGGAGACCGGTGGGGGTGGTCAAAATCCCGGACTCGTTTTGAGCTCCAGAGTCGAGCTCGAACCGAACGTGTGACCCCACCACTGGATTGCTCTCCGATCGAGGAATGCATCGGTGGGGTCACACGTTCGATTCGAGTCCCATTCAGCGACTCTGGAGCTCAAAAATCGCGTCCGGGATTTTGACGTTCCTGAGAGAGTTGCCTCCCCACTGGAGGGCGGGGTGCGCTAACGCCGCGGCACGCCAAGAGGCACGCCAAGAGGCACGCCAAGAGGCACGCCGTGTCGGCCGATGCCGCCCGGTCATTCCATTTGCGGCTCGGCGTTCTCGTTGCCTTGGTCGTTTTGTGGCCAAAGCTCTGCTGTTCCGTTGACTGTACTCGTTGACGGGCCTGACTAATAAGGACACGCCGATCTGCCTCGGGTACCCAGAGGTAGACAGAGGTACCTCGGGACGCCGCGCGAGTGCGAGGGAGACAGAGCGAGGCACCCGGCGAGGGCTTTGTGGTCGCGAATCAAGAGATGCCGGAAGGGGAACGGCACACTGTAAGACTGCACGGCGGCGGAAGCAAAGCAAGCAAAGCGGGCAAAGCGGGCAAAGCGGGCAAAGCGGGCAGGGCGCTGATTGCTGGCGGGGATTCATCTCAGTTTGTTTACACGTCATTGCGCAGGGCAACAAAACTCTAGACGCGTCCGAAGCCCCAGAGTCGCTGAATGGGGCTAGAACTGAACGAGTGACCCTACCAATGGACTGCTCTCCGAACGAGGAATACATTGGTGGGGTCACACGTTCGGTTCGAGTTCTGCTAAGCGACTCTGGAGCTCAAGACGCGTCTAGAGTTTTGGCCGCCCCCACCGGCTCAATTTCTCACAACGCATCAGTCGTGGCTGCCTGTATCTCGTCGATGATTGCGGCCTGCTAGACAGCCTGAGGCCGGCAACCCTTCCGACACTGCAGTGCACCGGTGCGTCGTGGGAGCTTTCGCCTACTAATGTGGCAACACTGATTGAGGGTCCACCGCGCGCGGAGTAGCGCCGGGCCAGTTCCCGCCCCGCGATGGCACGTAGTGCACGTAGGCAGCAGACTCATTCCGAGAGTCGTTTTCGCCGCTCTGTCTCTCTCGCGCTGCTGGGGCGCTCCTTGCGGGTGGGAGGGAGACAGAGCGACGAATGCGACTCTCGGAATCAGTCTGCGGGTTGTGAGTTACTCTGCCTGCATCACGGCACTGGCCCGTTTCCATAAAGATAAAGACGACGTAGTCCGTGGCCGTGCTGCCTGGCGCTGCCCGACGGGGTGCCGTTCGTGTGTCCACCGTCTCGCCGTCTCTCTCGCACTCGCGGGGAGGGTTGTGGGAGTGAGGCGGCCGCGGGAAAGAAGAAACACTGCGAACGCCGGGACGGCCGGGACGGTGGGACCACACGGCACGAGGCACGGGACACTGCGCCGTCGGTCTCTCTCTCTCTCGCACCGGTTAGGAGCGCCCCCTGAGTACGAGAGAGAGACCTCCCAGTCGACACACCGCACAGCGGTGCACCCACAGACGGCAGTACCACACGTCTCGGCGTCTCGGCAGGCAGGCCCCACTGTTGTGTCAGGTCAGGTTAGGCTTGTCGGTACCGCCGCGCCGCCGTGCCGCCCCGCCGCCAGCGCGCTAACAGGACGTTAACGTCACAGTTATTTGCCAAAATAAATCCAGACGGCGAGGTCGACGGCAAAGAGCACACAATGCTCGCAAACACTCGCCAAATCCCGTGTACACACACTGGAGTGGTCGATATCTGGCGTGAAATGGGACAAAAATCTGGCGAAATCTCGCGAAATCCCTTTGAGATCTGGTGGAACCTCGTGAAATCCGCTGAAATCCCACTGAAAGCACGCAGGATCTTGAATAATTTTGGTGAAACATTTTTGCGAAATCTCTCAGAATCATGCGAAATCTTTTCCTTTGAGAATTCGTGTAGCGTATACTAAATTACAAATGGCTGTCTCCTGGACAACGGTCCACTGAGAACGCCTGGGAGGTAGGCATCCGTCAGCCAGCAGCGCGTTGCGGGCCTGCCTACCCGACAGGCTGTAGAGGCGCCTGGGAGGTAGGCATCCGTCAGCCAGCAGCGCGTTGCGGGCCTGCGGACTCTCTTTTGGAAACTATAGAGCCACGCCATCTGCACCGAGGTGCATTGGCCCCACCGCCCCCCCCCGCCCCGCCTCTGCCCCCGCCATTGGGTTTGCAAAGTCGAAGCCCCTCCAGGACGGCGCGGCGGCTGGACTCGAGCTCCAGCGCAACGCTGCGGCGCTGCCTGGTGCACCTGGGCGCGGGGCGTGGCGGGGCGGGGCGGGGCGTGGCGGGGCGTGGCGACTCGCGGGGCAGCGTGGGGCGCGGGGCGAGGGGCGCGGCGGGGGCCCGGTGCGGAGGCATGGCCGAGCCGAGGTGAGACAGCCCGGCTCTACTCCAGTTGTCCGTTGTCCGGGCGGCGAGGCACAGCCGGCACAGCCGCGGCGAGGCAGGCCGTGCAGCCAGCGCTCCGCGAAGCATCGCACACTCCCACACGCCGGTACACTCGTTTGGATATGCAGTGCCTGCCCGCTGTTGGAGCCAGGTGTCATGAGTAGGGTGGCCAGCCTCCCCACGGCGCCACCAGTGCTACCTGTCCCTGTGCTCCGCGGTGCAACCCACCGCCCCGACGCCGCCCGGCCACCGCATCGCGTGCATCGCCCTTGAGGACCCCAGGTGAGTGCGCCGAGCGCAGGCCGCGCGGGCAGCGCAGGCAGCGCGGGCCGAGGGTGGTGACACGGGTCACAGCTGGCCGGAGAGAGACGCCGCGTCGCCAGCGCGCCGCTCGCTGCGCAAGTCACCGGTCTTGTTCGGGGACGCACGGCGGCCCGACAAACTTGAGTTCGGCCACAGGGCAGCAGGGGGACGCTTTGACATCCGCGGGGGTCCATTCATCGCGCGAAGGCTGTACCCTCTCCCGGTCGGATTTGAACGGGGTTCAACCATCGCGCGATGAAAGTACCCCCGACGTGCGCCTTACCGGGGTGGTGTGAGCCCACCCATGGATTGCTCTCCGAACGAGGAATCCATCGGTGGGGTGACACGTTCGGTTCGAGCCCTGTTTAGCTACTCCGGAGCTCAAAACGCGTCTACAGTTTTGGCCGCCTCCACCGGTCTTCTGGCCCACTGTGCGCCGCCAGGCCGTCCGGCAGTGCACCGCCCCCAGGTGGCCAACTTCTCGCACTTCCCCATCTCCTTTCCGTTGTGACGTAATTTTAAAATGACCGTGAAGTTCCACCGAGCTGGGCAGCGTGGCCGCCTTCTCGGGCGCCGTCTTGGCCGCGGCCGCCCTTACAGCATGCTGTCATTAGTTCCATCAAACTCACGTCACGGCGCGCCGTCCGGCAGGCAAGTCGCTCTCGTCGCTCTGTCTCTCCCGCACCTGTACGGCACGCCCCATGAGTGCGAGAGAGACAGAGCGACAAAAGCGACTCAGGCCGGCGCAGGCGAAGATCTGCGGTGCACGGGAGGACTAGGGGAGGAAGCAGTGGTGGATCCAGGGGCGGTCTTTTGGGTGGGGCAATGTCGAGGAGGTAGACACACTCGTGGGATACCTCGTACTCAAAAACAGTGTATCGCGCCTACGCCTCATACACGTAATTGTAATACGATTTTTGGGCCAAATGTGCAAAATTTTGGCATTTTAATGCCGTAATACACGAGTATAACATCCCGTAATACAGCGTAATGCCGAGCACTCTGTACACGATTTCTTGGAGTGTTTACCACCGCCTCGGGCAAAGTGGCTACTTTTGCTTGCTAACACGGGCAAAGCATGGCCTGGTCCCTGTCTCTCTCGCGATCATGGGGCGTCCCTTACGGGTGCGAGAGAGACGGAGCGACCAAGCAGTCCGCTGCATCGTGTAGCTACACTGTAGCCCGCGGGCTGCCCGCCCGCTTGCCGTGTTTGCATCAGACGAATTTCTTTCGAATTTCCCGGCGCTGTCCGCGCCCACGTCTCCGACGTCGCCGACCCGGCCGGGCCGAGGTGGCGGCATGGCGGCGGCATGGCGGCCGAGTGCACGACCACGATGACGGCGGCGAGGGGGAAGGGAAGAAGAGTTTGAGGTGGCAAGGTAATTGCTTCTTCTTAGGATCCGTTGTTGTCGCTCGGGCGTGTCTCGGCAAAGTAAGTCCCGCCTGCCCCACGCACGGCACGGCACGGCACGGCACGGCAAGGCACGCTCGGGGTGCTTGCGCCGTGCTGCGCTCATTTACTCGTTTTGACAAGGCTCCATTACGTGCAGCCCCACCGAAATCAGCGCCAGACCCTCCTCTGCGCTTCGATTCCTTTTTTTCCGCGAACAGTACAAGGTTCCGCCCCGCCCCGCCCCGCCCCGCCCCGCCCCCCCGCCCCCCCGCCCCGCCCGCCCCGCCGGCAGGCTTTTGGCGCGTCGCGACCGCGCTGTCGGCTGATTCGCGAACCAAGAGGTTATTCGTCACTGTCTCTCTCGCACCCCTGTGGGGCGTCCCATGAGTGCGAGAGAGACAGAGCGAGGAAAGCTCTGTCCGGAATGGGTCCGTCATTAGAGCAGCGGGCAGCGGCCTGGCGGCGGTGCGGCGGCCGACGAGACCGCCAGAACTTGGACCAACTTCAACGGCACACATTCGCATGCACGCCAGCTCATCCGCCTTGACTAATTTTGGACCGCGGCCCGAAATCAGCGAGACTGCTACTTTTTTTTTCCTCCGTACCGTCTTCGTCTTTCGGATATTCGCGGTTTTTCTCCGAGTCTAGGGTAGGTTGGCGAGGACGATTTGAACACCGGCCCCGATCTGAACCGCGCTTCCACCAGTCCTGAGGCTTTGCTTTGGGTGGGGCCCACACTAGTTACGGCGGAACAACTCAGACATATATAGCGTCTCATTTCGAGGAAATGGCCACTCACGGCGGTGTGTGTGTGTGTGTGTGTGTACGTGTGCGCGTTCTGGGGACTTGGGACCTCCATCCTCCAACATCTGCCATGCCATCACGCTGGACGCGTGGGAGTCACCACCGCCGGTGGCTGACGTCCTGCCTGACGTTCACACACGCGTGGAGGGGGAAGGGGATAACGAACAGTCCTCGAGGGTTGCCGCCCAACGCATTGCTTTGTCTCTCTCTCCCCTCTCTCGCGAGGGTGCGAGAGAGAGCGACGCACGGTTCGGAATCAGCCTGGCGGCGGGACCCCGGCGGGACCCCCCGCAGTCCGGCGGGCCGCGTTATGATCTGGTACCGTATCCGCACCGGGCAGTGCCCAGGCAGTGCCCAGGCAGTGCCCGCGCTCTGTGGGCGGGAGAGTGCCCAGGCCGAGCCCCGGCGTGCGTGTGCAATGCACAGTGTACTTACAGGGCACTTTGCACGCGGAGCGCTATGCAGTACCGGAGAGAACGAAGGGGCATCACAGTGCCACCCTCCCCCCTCCACGAAAGGCCTCCTCTGGAGCCGCCACTGCACGGCTCGAATTTTCGGCCGCCGATGCGGCAAATTTGACGAAGGCGATTCCTCCGGCATGGATGGCCGCGTCATCGTGGCGTAAAGAATCAAAGAATCGGGGGCGAACGGGACGGGCCAGGCCTGGCCAACCTCCCAAACGGAGCCTTTTATCGTGTTTTTTCGTCTCGTGGGATTTGAACCCACGCCTCGCGCTCGCACTGTGCCGCGCGTATGCGAACCACGCGATCTGACCTCAGCCTCCGTGGACCAGAGGCATTCAAACCGTGCACGTTAATGTCCATCGCGGCGCTGCAGGTCCGGGTCCACTGCACTGTACACGTTGCAGCCAGGTTGCAGCTGCACTGAAATCTTGGAAATAGCGCACACGCAGAGCACTAAAGCGTGAATTGAGTACACATTTAAGTTTTTACTGTTGTCGATACTGTCAAGCAGTTGAGAAACGTATGTGAGAAATTCATGCAAAACGCTCCTTGGCCTCGCGAAGGGATTCGAACCCACGCAGACTCGTCCCGACAACTCGCGACGAAACTGACCCACTTGACTTGTCCCACTGCGTCCTGGCCCATTCCGGGCCCATTCCAGGCCGAGCTTGCCCGGCCGTGCACGCCGTGCCGCGGGATGGCACTTGGCGGGGTCACTCAAAAGTCGCCGGTGAGATAAAAAAGAGTGTAAGGATTTACGGTTCATTTATGGCTCAATTCGCTGCATAGCAGTCCAGGGATTCGCCCGGGCGGCCCACGCCAGGCCGGAGTGCCTGTAGAAAGCGGGCCTGGGGGTGTCCGTCCAGTCCTCCGTGACACCGCGTCGCACAGTGGGCCACCAGAAGACGGGTGGAGGTGGCTATAGGTTGTGATATTTGCGCCTTACTCCTCTTGCGAAAAAAAACACCAATTTTCTATTTTGGCCTGTGTGTGTTACGCACTGTGTGCACTGATGTGTCGCTCGTTACCGACGTATTGACACAGATGAATAAGTTGCTACACGGCGTTGAGTGGACTGGTCCGTCCCGACCGTCCCCGGTAGCAGTCAAACGCGGCAACGCTTCGGACAGACTAGTGTCAGTCAAGTGTAAACACTCGCAGAGTTCGGCCAGAGAGAGAGAGAGAGAGAGAGAGAGAGAGAGAGAGAGAGAGAGAGAGAGAGAGGGGGGGGGAGTTCGTTTACTAGTGGTGTGACGTGTCCGGCTTTTAGGAACGGACTGGCTCATGTTTGCCCGCTTTCTTTGGCCAGGGCGTTTTGAAAACGCCAAATCGCTATCGCTGTCACCACGTGCATCCTGCCTCGGCAAAAATTTCGCTCCGCCGACGGCCGGCGAAAACGGCACAAAAACCTTGACGAGCTTCAGGCCTGTTAGTTTCGACCGTAAACTCTTTCGCTCGGCCGGGACGGTCAGCGCACAGTGGGCCAGAAGACCGATGGAGGCGGCCAAAACTCTCGACGCGTTTTGAGCTCCAGAGTCACTAAACAGGACTCGAGCCGAACGAGTGACTCCACCAATGGATTGCTCTCCGAACGAGGAAGCCATTGGTGGGGTCACACTTTCAGTTTGAGTCCCATTTAGCGACTCTGGAGCTCAAAACGCGTCTAAAGTTTTGGACGCCTCCACCGGTCTTCTGGCCCACTGTGCGGCGATAGAAGTGGCCGGGTAACGCACCGCGCAACGTGCTTAACTGACCACTTTGGCAGCGCGTGCGGTTTGGGCCCAGACGGCCAGGCCTGGTGGTGGGGTGGGGGTCGCCCTTGGAGCCTGTCTCGTAGTCCAGTCAATATCGACACTTCTGCATCAATGGAGTGGTCGACCTATCGCTCGGATCACTTTATTCAAGGCACCAAACGCGCGGCAAAGAAGGAGAAAGAGAGGCGCGTGCGGTTGTGGCCGGCGCAGGCTAGCACACAGTCCATTTCTGTGCACGATTTTCGTCCGTGTTGTCACACAGTTTTGCGCGTGCTTGGGCTAATAGAAGGGGTGGTCTATCAAATACGTCCCACAATTTTGGTGACCCCTACCCCAGCGGTTCCCAACCTTGGGGTCGCGACCCCAAAGGGGGCCGCGAAAAAATTTCGAGGGGTCGCGGCGAGGTGGTTGGGGTCGGCTGGGGTCGCGGCTGTTTCCCGGCTGGCAGAATTGTTGAAAACGGTCGAAAATGCCTTTGAAAACTCGTGTTTTAGGCCGACTTTAAGCAGCAACTGCGTCTGATCCGAGGCGGTATTTCGTCCTCCCTCAGCGGGCATTTGGTCT